GCACACACACACAGACAAGCCCCAACACCCGTGCCCTCTGGCTATGGCTCCTTGGTGTAAAGCAATGTTCTGTGCTCCTGGATGGCCAGGCTAAAAGTGTTTTGTTCCTCTTCCCTCCTGGTTTACCTAGGAGGTCCCTGACTCGCAGCCAGCACTGCCCACCTCCAGCCCCCTGCCATCCAGGGTGGAGAAGGGTAGTCACTCAGCCCGCTGTCTCATTCCACACAAGCCCTTGCCTCCAAGACCCCAGGCAGGGGACCTGCGCGCTGGGCTGCCTGTGTTCCCAGGCCCCACGGCCTCACCGACGCAGTGGCGTTCTTCCCGTTGTCTGGAAAAAGCCAGCCCATCCCAGCTGTGCCAGCAGGACCCAGGGAGGGGCACTTCAATCCTGGGGCGGGCTGCTGTGGGGGTGGCAGCAGCACCAGAGTGAGGACCCCAAGGGGACTTGAAGCTCCTCTGGGCTGAAGCTCAAGGCCATTTGTCAAGGGCAGACACAGAGGCCTGCTTGGGAAAGGGGGTGTGCACAACACGTTGAGTCAAGAAAGTTGGCAATTCTAGAAACCTTTCTCAGAGTTAGTCTTCTCATCTTGGAGGCAGAGCACATCCTTGTGGGGTGACAGGGTGCCCCCTCCTCCCACTGTTTCTCTCCATCTCTGTGTCCTCACGCGTCAGCCGAGCATTTGTGTCACTGTCTGCCCGCTCCCCTGGCTCCCTCCCTCCCTCTGGTTTGCCTGCATCAGCTCCAGCTCCACTCACTGATGGCCTCTGACACCACCAGGCTCGACAACAGGCTCCGTGCACCCCTCTCATTGGCTCCTCGCTTCGCTCTATCCAATCAGGGCCAGAAACCCTTTCGTTGGGAGGTTGCCAGGCAGCCTTGAGAGGCTGCAGCAGCAGGGAGGAAGGTCCGGGGCAGCCATCCACATCAGAGAGGATTTGTCCCCGTCTCTCCCAGACAGCCCTGCTGGGGACACACCCCTGTGCCGCAAGAGACATGGGACGGCGAATGGAAGAGGGGCCCTGCCTAGTGGGGCCTCATCTAGTGAGGCTCCAGCAGTGTGTCATGACGGATGCCTGGGGTGGAAAGTGGCAGATAAGCCACCCATTCCTTTGATGATCTAGGCCAGGCCCTTGGGCAGGGCAATGTGACCACTCCTAAGGAATCAGAAGATTTTTCCCTATCAAGGTAGAAGTGGGGCCACAGTCCTGAAAGGTACACAGAGTGGCTGCCCTGACTAGGCCCACACTCACACGGGCCATTTGGGAGGTGAGGACATTCACCAGCATCCAGACACCCAAGTCACGGGATGGAACAGAGCTGGCACCAAATCCCAGGGAACAGCACGTGTTCTGACTTGGGACCGTCCTGCCAGGAGGTGACCCGGTGAGCTGGTCCACAGGCTTGGTGGATCAGCATTACTTTAGACAGTGGGATAACATCACAGCCATGTGAGGCCCCTGAGGGACGAGGAGCAGGGCTTTGAGCCTGGGGGGACGGTGTTTGCTCTCAGGCTGGGTGGCCCCTCCTGATGGCAGGGCTCATGGGCCAGGAGGGCCTAGGAGTAAGTGCCCAAGTGCCCAGAGTAAGAGGAATACTGGAGCTTCAGGGTGTGGGCTGTCCAGCTCGGAGAGGATTCTGGGGTCTGGTGCTCGGAGTTGGTAGTGGCTTGAGCCAAGCACCATCTACATGGCTGGCCGAGTCCAAGAGTCCCCTCCCTCCAGCAGGTGTGAGCCAGCTGCTGGTGCCAAGTGCCCTGCTTTTCCAGCTGCCAGCAGTGGGTGTGCCCAGGCCGCCTGGACACTGGCATTGTGCTCCAGGGAGCATTACGTGATGTCACGTATGAGATCAGCCAGGCTACTGTGCAGCCACAGCTGGGGCTCAGGTTCTAGCTGAAGGTGTTGGAAGTGTTTGGGGGCCAGTTGCCCAGCCTCCCCGAGCTCAGTTTGCTCACAGTGTAGCAGGACGAGGGAATACTTACTGCTGCCAGGTTGTCCCGATGCCTAGACTGGGTGCTCATAGTCCACATCCAAAGACCTCCTGGGAGGGCAGGGCCAAGGCTACAGTCAGCTGGCCGAGGGAGGGGGAGGGGGAGTCCTCCCCACATGTGCAAAGTGCATTCCTTCTGTCTTACTACACCCCTAGTGTTCTGAGCCAAAGCCTGCCTCCTGCTCGCAGGGGTGCTTCTGCTGCTGTGTGACAGAAAGACTATAAATACACAGAGGAGCAAAATGTTTTTGAATATATCCTTTCAGAGGTTTCTTTTCCTGTGAATTTTTCTGTAAATATATTTTTAAGGACATGGAAACATCCTACACATCTTGTTTTAAAAGCTGCATTGTAATATGCTTAAATACAACTATTGGGAACTTCGAGTATTGCCAAATTTTCACCATCATTTTCAGCACCAGGAAGATACCCTCTTGTGTGCTATGTTCTGCTTATACAATTGTCTCCTTAGGAGAGATTGCTGTGAGTGGAGCTGCTGGATCAATGGGCTCGCCCTCTCTAAGGCTTTTGATATACATGGAGACCTGTCCTCCAAAAAGATGCCCTGACTGACCTTCCCTGGAAATGCCCTGCAGAGTGGTCCACCCAGCCTCCAAAGCTGCTCCTGTCTGCAGTGAGGGTTTTCTCATTGCCTATTGATTGGACGGCCCACTGCCCTGTTCTCTAAGAAGGATTGGATGAGGGGAGGGGATGGTGGGCCTGAGAGGAGACCTAGGTCAAAGGTGATATTGAGTAAGTCAGCAGCACGGCCCCTGCCAGCCTCCAGCCCAGCGACATAAGCAAAAGTACGCAGATGAACTTGGCAGGCCCACCTTCCAGGGATGCTGAGGCATATGGTCCACTTGGAGTGCAGTGTTCATGGAGGAGGGGTTGGTGAGAAAAGTGGCCAGGGGACTGGGGAGTTTACTCCTAGTCTTAGAGACAGTAAGGAGCCAGCAGAAGCTAAGTGAGAAGCGAGGGCTGATGGGTGATCAGCGAGGCACAGATGAAAGCCAGTGGACCAAGGAGGAGGTCAGAAGTGACTGTGGCCTGAACCAGAGCTGTGGGGATGAAGGGGAAAGTCAGCTGTCCAGCTGGGACATAGATTCAAACCTCATATGTCCATCCGTCTGACTGGTACTCATCACCTGAAAGTATCCTTGTCCTAAAGAGCTGCCGCCTTCTTCAGGCCCACCAGAAGTCTCTGCTTCCTGACTCAGATTTATGGTCCCATCAAAAAAGTCTTTTGACTTCTAAGATGCAGCATGAGCCCTGGCCTTTGCCTGGTGAGGTGGGATCTTAGCTGTAAAGATGGGGCCCCACTCCAGCTCCGCCCTCCCTTGCTGTGGGCTCTTGTGCATGTCCCTGCCCCTTTGGCCCAGGAGTCCCCAGTGGCCCCTCTGCCTCTGTCATTTTGTCTGTGCGTGAGTCTGTCCTGATTTTGGAAGTGGCTTCTCTGGTCTGATTTGGCAGAAAACTTCTAGGCAACCTGGCCAACAGGCTTGTCAACGGGAAAATGATAAGTTCCTGAAGGAGCTTAAAGGACGAGTAGTAGGAGGTCCCAAGCTGAGGCCCAGAAGAGGCCAGGGCCTCCCCCAAGGCCTCCAGACAGTCAGCAGCACCAGGAGATGGGGGACCAAGATCTCAGGTAGCCCAGTGTGGCAATTCCATGGGCTGCTGAGAAGGGACAGTTGGGCAGTGTGGTCCGAGGGACCTACGGAGTGAGGTCTGCTCGATAGAACTCTGACGTGGCAGCCCATTCACACTGATGAGGTGCTGTTCCTGGCACGCAGTAGGCTCAGGCCTCCTAGGCTGCTCATTTGGTGCTGTTTATGGGAAATCCAGCTCTTGCTGATGTGGCAAATTTGGTTTGTTCTTGGCCCCCAGCCCTGCCCATTTTTGTGTGCCCCTAACCTCCGTGGAAACATGTCCAACACTTGCCAGCTGGCAGCAGGGCCTGGCTGCTAAGGGCCTGGCCCTGGAGGAGCCCAGAGGGTGGCAGGCCCCTCCAAGGGAGGCTGCTCTGCCTTAGGACGGTGCCGGCCGAGCCAGGGCTTTTGCTTCCCTCCACATCCACTTGCTTAGGCCTCCGGCCCCTCTCCTGAGGCCCCAGCAGCCAGCCGTGGTGGGTCAGTCCTGCAGCTAGTCCCATGATGGGTGCTGTGAAGGCCTTGGAGACCACCACGGCCCACTGCTCACTGGCCACAGAAGGGTAGCACCTGGCTCAAGGGCAGAGAGGGGACAAGGCGGGAGGGCAGGGCAAGAAGACAGAGAAATGAAGAGAGAGTGGAGGGCAGGACGTCCTCTGCTTCCCCAACCTCGCCTGCTGCCCAAGATCCATTAAGAGTTGGCTATGGAGCCCTGGGCTTTCCTCACTGGGGATAGAGCCAACCTCTGAACCACACAAGGACAAGTTGAGAGTCACTGCCGCCTGGCTCTTGTCTGAGTACCCTGTGAACTTTGATGTGCTGGGTGGTGCCAGGCACTTGCAAGAACATTGGTGCGTTCAGTCCTCACAGCTGCCCCAAAGGGTAAACTTTTTTATTTTTAACTCCTATTTGATTGATGAGGACACTGAGGCAGCCCGGAGAGGTTAGATGACCCTTTTGAGAGGTTTGTCAGACAACTACTAAGGAGTGAGAAAGATGGTCTAGCCCCAGAGCGGCTGTCCACCAGCCTCTGCACTTCCCCCATTCCCTCCTTCCAACTTCACCAGCGTCGGCCCCCAGGGCGGGAGTCTGGCCAGTTGAACCCTCAAAGAGGGTTTGTGGTCTGCTCTTACCAGCCACCTCTCCAACAGACAGCCTCTGGCAGCCCATGTCGTGTTCTCCAGGAGACTGGCCCTGGGCAGACAATGGGGTGTGCAGCCCAGCGGGTGCCTCTGCCCAGGGCTCCATCTTCCTAATGCTCAAAGGACAGCCTGGATGGTCTCAGTGTGCCAAGGACTATATGGTAACCCAAGAGCCATTATGAATGCATGAAGTGACAAGCCATGGTCTTGCCTTTGCCCCAGGAGCCTTGTTGAATCCACTGAGAAGGGGCCTGCACAGCGAACACCATGAGCATCTCAGCTCTTGGAGGCACCACCAAAGGTGAGGCCTGGGCTCCCTGTTGTTCCGGGCTTGAAGTGCGGCTGCCTCCTTCCAGGCCTGCCCTGCGAGGGCCCCAGGCGCTGCCTGTGCAACAGAGTGAGAAAGGAGGCGTCGGGGTCCTGGGGCTGGGCTTTCATTCTGAGGCTGTTTGGCCCCCACTAGGGAAGCCTCTCCCACCAGGCGAGGAGGAGCGTAATAATGTCCTCAAGCAGATGAAGGTTCGAACCACGCTGAAGGGGGACAAGAGTTGGATCACCAAGCAGGATGATTCGGAGGGCCGCACCCTGTGAGTCTGGGAGGCCTGGAGGGTGGGCAGTAACAGGTCGGGTGTGGAGTGGTGCTCCGTGTGGCCCCGTCCATACCTGGGGATGCCGATGGGCTTCCATTGCCCAGAGCTCAGCCAGGCTACTTGGCCACAGGCCCACTGGGGAGGGCAGAGCATGGGAAAGCAATCCAGCTGAGGATCAAGGGATGGGAAAGCCAGGGTACCAGGCTGTGTGTGCGCGCACAGGCCTGTGGCATGTGGAGGCAGGCCAGGGAGGGAGAAGGTGAGACAGGAACCAGGGGCCACATTCCTGGGGTGCATGTAGTGCAGCCCCCACCTGCCTGGGGGCCCAGCAGGCAGCCACTAGGATGGAGGCCCCATGGTGGCTGGTGGCAGGGACTCTGGCAGTCACGCTTTCGGGTTCCCTCTTTCCCCAGAGAGCTGCCGTCAGGCCGGAGTCGTGCCACATCCTTTTCCTCACCTGGGGAGGTGCCTAAGGCCAGGTAAGAGGTGGTGCCTGGATGGCTGATGGGTGGGCCCCTTACTGCAGTCCTCAGGGGACATGGAGGAAGCCCGAGCTGAGAAAGGACATCAGGGTTTATGGGGAGTCATTTGAAGTCCACAAGAAGGATGGCCTTTTCCCATCTGCTCCCTCGTCAGAAAGGGAGTGCAGAGGTCACTGGGTCCATGTCCTCAGCTTTGCTGTGTGGCCTTTCGGTCGGTGCCTCCCCTGCTGGGCCACCATGGTTCCAGCTGTCAACTGAGATCAAAATTGTCATTGAGACTTCCCCTGCAGGGAGTGAGACAATGTTTGTCTCTGAGGTCCTTTGAGTGACTTTTTCAAGAGTCACATGTGACTCCCTCCTGTGGGTAGGCCTGATGGCTGTGTGCACTTGGTAATCAGTGTGCCAAGGGAGACTCACACATTTGCCCCAACCATCTCCCAAGTTCAAGATGACATATTTTGACAGCTGGGCAAGAGGAACAGACCATCCCTCTCTATTTTGAGGACTCTTGCATAGCGGCGTTCCAGGAGGCTCTGAAGTGTGGGCACATCCTGCCCACATCTGGAGGAACTACTCCTGAGATGTAAGGGGTTAGAGTTAGGATTAGGGTTAGGGTTAGGGGGACCACCAAATCCAGGCTTGATCCTGGCTCCAAACAGCTGGCAGTTGGCAGGTGAGTACAGTGCCAGGCCTTTCCCAGTGGGGGGGACAGGCAATGATGGCGACTGGAAGGGAGGGGTCCAGGCTCACTGCTAGCTCCAGGGGCTGCATCCAGTAACTCTGGCCGGTAATCTCTCAGTGACTCAGCCCCTGTTACCTGCCAGGTCCTGTGTTGGGCACAGAGGACACAGCCCTCTCCTCAGGGAACTGACATCCTAGCAGGAACACAGGCATGACCCCTTTAGAGAGGAGAACATAGAAGAGAGAATTACAGGCTGTGACAGGTGCGGTTGGCGAGGGCCTGAGGGTGGTTCAAAGATAGTCTTGTTGTTGGGTGGTATGTTTACTTTGAGGGGTTCAGTTCTCACCCTGGACTTCGATTTGGGAGTATATTTGGAAAACACGTCCCAGAGCACTGTGACTCAGGCGCAGGAGCAGGAGGACCCGGAAGCTTGCACACATCTTGGCTGTCCTTCTTTCCGGGGATGTCCAAGGCCATTCAGGGGCCATGGTCCAGCCTCTCCAGGCCACAGGTATTTCAGCCAAAAATGCTTGTGTGGCTAGAAGAGGGATAAGTCACCTTTCTTTCTCAGGTCCCAGTGCAAGTATCCCTGCAAGTTGGTCACCTCCAAGAGGCTGTGCCCTGTTAAGGACAGAGTCTGTCACAATGGAGAACACCCTAAAGACTCTCCCTCACTGCTTCAGCCCCCGAGCTCCTCTATTCTCAGACAGAGGAGCCATCTGCCGAGTCCTTGTCTCCTGCCCCTGAGCCCGGAACTCACAGCTCTGCCTGCCCTGCACCTTCAGCTCTGGCCTGCCCACACCCTCCACCCGAGTCCTCTGAGCCCCTCGGTTGCTTTCAGGCAGGAAGTGCCCAGCACGTGGAGTCTAATGTTTTCCAGCCACTGACCAAGCCTTGGACGTGCCCTCCAAACCCAGACTTCCATCAAGACTTGCAATGTGGGCATCCCAGGGGCTGGAAAAGGGAAGCTCGATATGGGTGGGAAGTAAAGGGCAGCTGGCCTCTGCTGGCTCATGCCTGGGCTCTGCCCCTTGGGCCCTCAGGAGGCTTCCTGGAGGGGGCCAGGCAGGGTGGGGGCCTCAGTTCCAGGCCTCCAACCACAGAACCTCCAGCTTGAGCTGGGTCAGCTCTGAGAGTAGAGGTGGCGAGGGCTGTTAGCAGGCCAGGAAGAAACCCAACTTTGAAGGGGACACTTCTGTACAAATGCCTAGCCATGGAACATGCCTTCCTGGGCACCTACTGTGACCCAGGGACCGGAAGGATCAGCGATGGGTCCTTTTCCTGGGGAGCATGAGGCAGACAGGCAGAGGAGAACTAGCACCCCGGCTATGGGTGCAGAGGGGCTGGCTTGGGAAGCAGCTGGCCACTCTTATTCCCCTTGTTCTGACCACCCTGGGGTGATCACTCGGCCCACTCTCTTTGCTATCATTGGGCAGCCTGGGCCCGCCTGCGAGTCCTTGCTTCACATCACACCTTCTTTTCCCCTGGCAGGCCCCCGAACACAAGGGCTCCCACTGGCTACATCATCCGGTAGGTGACCGTAGGACCATGCCCATCTCCCCGTGCCCGCCCACACTGCCCCCCGGCTTCTCCCAGGGGAGCTCACTGGGCTGCTTCTCCCGGGCTGTCTTTCAGGGGAGTGTTCACCAAGCCCGTAGACAGCTCGTCCCAGCCCCAGCAGCACTTCCCCAAAGCCAACGGAGCTCCAAAAAGGTGTGTCCACTGGGTGTCAGCCGGCGGGAGGTGTGAGGGCCCATGGCCAAGCTTAGGGCAGAGTGAGCCCTCTGCCTGTCACTGAGGGGGTGGCGGGTGGCAGCTCTCTTCCTGTGTGAGGCAGGGCCCTGGACCACTACCAGTGCCCTGGCACTTGGGCCAGTCCCAACTGGCCCTGGTCACCAGGGCAGAAGCACACAGAGAAGGCTGGGCAGGGCATGTAGCCTTGACCTGCTGATTGACGGCGCTGAGCTGGGAGCTTTAGTCCACCTTCCTCCCGGCTCAACCTGGGCTCCATCAGAAAGGTGGGACCAAGGGGGCTGGCTCTGTCTGTGGCAGAAAGCCTGGCCCATTCAAGGTGGCACAGGTGTTCTGGGTACCTGGTGGGGCTGAGAGCAAAGAGGAAAGGCCACCAGGAACCCCTTGTCCACCCGCCATGTGCCTGCTGGGCCATCTGCACAGATCTGGAAGCAGGAGGGGGCCTGCAGGTAGACACATGGAAACACCTTGCCTCTCCAGCGCTGCCAATCTGCTGAAAGCAGCCCCTTCTGGGCCTCCCCACCCCTCCTCCTCGGGCTACAAGATGACCACAGAAGATTACAAGAAGCTGTGAGTATGCCATCACAGACCAAACACCAGGCCCACTGAGAACAGCTGGCTGCTCGCTCAGGAGCACTAGTCCTGCCGATGTGACATCCCTGCCAGTTGCCACTGTGGCCTGGGGCCCACCAGAGAGTGACAAGCCCCAGAAAGTTAGACAGCATGCACATTGCCCTTCTGATCTGAGGCCAAGTAGGGGCTGTAGAAAGCTTCTAGAAAGAGCTGATGGGTCTGGAGAAAGGGTCCTGGGCCCAGGCCCTGGGGCTGCACCAGACTGGGCTGGGGCCTGGTAAGCCTAAGCTGGCCCTGGCAGCATTATCAGCTGTGCGCACCCTGGGCCTAAATCTGGGCTGCTTCTTGGATATAAATCTTTGGGATTCCCTCTGGAGCTCCCCCTTGTGGCCCCATCCAAGGCTCCCTCCTGTGTGCCCAGCAAGTGAGGAGGGCTCTGGACAGGTGTGGACTGTGCCTGCAGTTCCCAGGGACTCTCTGTCCCTTATCACCATCACCCAGCAACACAGCAGCTGGGGCATCTTTCTGGAGGAGGGTGAGGCTTGAACTGAGTCTAGGGGGACAGCAAGGGTTGGAACAGGGAGACAGAAGACAGCTGGCTCTCAAAGGGGGAGAAGTGGAGTTAGAGGGACGAAGGGCTACAACTGGCAGCATCTTCAACCCCTCCCCCTCCCTAGGGCACCCTACAACGTCAGGCGCAGCTCAGCATCAGGGGCTCCTGAAGAGGAGGTGCCCATCTCTTCTGATGAGCAGAAACGGAGGTAATGGTGCCTGCTGGGCATCCCATGGGCAGGGCAGGGCCGGGCCTGAGTGTCTGAAGACTGATGAGATAGGAATGGTGCCCGTTGGGGTGACAGCATGCACAGTATGTAGAGCATCAGTGCTGACCTGTTTCCTGGAGGAGTGGCTGTTGGCAACAGGTAGCCTTCCTTGAGTCCCACAACCACCTGCTCTGTGCTGGGCCAGTGCAGGGGACCTCATGAACCTTCCATGGGGGCAGAACCTAGGTAATGAGAGTCCAAGGATAACCTCATCTGTGGGTGGACAGAGCCTAGGGAGGGAGGTGCTTCGGGACTTTCTATCAGTTTGTTTAAAAGGGTCCTGAGCAAACTGGGCCAAAAAAGGCTGTGCAGAGTGGCCAGGGAGAACCCTTCTGTGTGTGCCAGGGAGGGGGCAGGGCCAGGCTCCAGAGGTGCCCATGCTCCATGTCACAAAGTGATGCCTGGGTTCTTGGGCAATCATAAGGGCAGAGTTCACAGGGCCAGGGGACCCTGGGCCTGGGAGGTGTAAGAGAAAAGCCAAGAGCTCCAGAGCCAGGCTGCCAGGCACTGACTGCCCACTCTGCTGCCTACTATGTGTGGGGCCACAAAAGCTCCGCCTGCCTCCCGAGTACTTGCCAGGCTAGGCTGGCAGAGCGAGTCCCACCTCACACCATCTGTTGCCCCCTTCTTGTGTCGTCCCAGGTCAGAAGCTGCAAGCAGCGTGCTGAGGAAGACGGTCCCCCGTGAGCACTCCTATGTCCTATCAGCGGCCAAGAAGAGCAGGTGACATGGCAGGGCCTGGTATCGGGCCAGCTCAGCCACCAACCAGCTCCACGCTCTGGGACAGTTTCTTTCCCCTCAGTCTTCCTCGGGCTGTTGAGGGGCGGGTTGAGAAGGCCCTCCTGGCCAGAACTTCTGGGACTCTCAAATGTACTTTCTGGAAAACTGAGAGGTCTGGCTGCTACCATCAGGGCAGGCAAGGTGCTGGGAATGGGAGACAGGCCGTGACGTCACCTGTCCACTGGCTCTGCCCAACATGTCACCTTTCTGCCTCCTTTCCAGCAGCCCTGCCCAGGAGACACAGGCCCCATTCATTGCGAAGAGGTAAGTGTCAGCCAAAGTCTTCTGTTGGCAGGGGTGGTGTGTGGGCACTAGGTGGAGAGGACGCAGGGTGGGCAATGGGGTAGCTGTCCCTGAGTAGAGGGAATTATGAGGGGCTGGTGGCTTCTTTTTGAAAGCCAAACAAGCATCTTGCTGGTTGTGGTGGCACACATGGCCACCAATTCTGCATAGGCAGGGGCCCAGCTGAGAGAACACAGCTTGTGACCAGAAACTTCCATTTGCCTAACAGGGCTAACAGGGCTAGGCCCCTGACCCAAGATGGAGCTGAAGTGTTTCCAAGGGCCTTTGGAGTTTTGAAACAAGAGTAGCTACCAGGGTCCAAAGCAGCTGTTCCTTTGCCCTCCCTCCCACCCTACCAGGGACAGGTTGGACAATACCTTGTCAGGAGGGATCGTTAGGCTGGGGTTCAAAGGGTTGACATTGGGAGCTCCTGCCTGACCAGACCCTTGGAACTGACCATGATATTGGAGGTGGATGAACAGGGATCAATGGGGCATAATTTGGATATCAGGACACTCCAGCTGCATGATGGAGGGGTGTCACCATGAGTTGACAAGACCTCTTCTGTGAGAGGAGACTACTCAGGGGAGGACGGAGAAGAAACCCCTGGAAAGTTGAATTTTAGGGATATTCTGTTGGATACATAGGGGAAGCATCCACGACCAGGTGGCATAGCGAGCTGAGGACTGAAAAACAAGGAAGACTCAGAAGGCCAAGGGTTCCAGGCAGAGGGCCCAGCTGTGCAAAGGCCCAGAGGTGGGAAGACCAAAAAGGCTGAGTGGACAACAGCCAGCAGAGGGTGGTGGCAGCATGATGGAAATGACAGATAATGCTATGCTCTTCCTGGCTGTGTTAGGTTCCTGGGACTGCCATAACAAAGCCCAGGAGTGTGTGTCCCAGTTCTGTAAACTAGAAGTCCAAGATCAAGGTGTGAACAGGGTTGGCTCCTTCTGGAAGCTGTCAGGGAGGAAGCAGCTCAGGCCTCTCTCCCAGCTTCTGGTATCGCCGGTGCTCCCTGGCATTCCTTGGCCTGTAGACACATGACTCCTATCTCTGCCTCCATCATCACATGGCTGTGTGTCTGTGTCCAAATTTCCCTCTTATAAGGACAATGGTCATTGGATTTAGGGCTCACCCTACTGCTGTGTGACCTCGTCCTAACTTGATTACAAACTGATCTCTATTTCCAAATGAGATCACACTCACAGGTTCCAGACAGACATGGATTTTGGTGGGGCACTATTCAACGCAGGATGCTGTCCTTATATCAAGTTGCAGTTGCTACACCCCAGCCTAAGCCATCTCGTGGCCATAAGCATCACCGAACAGAGGCATGTCCTTCAGGGGCAGCAGAGCAGGCCGGATGGGCCCCGAGGACACATGGTGCATCTGTTTCTTTTCTTGCCCAAAGGGTGGAGGTGGTGAATGAGGATGTGCCTTCCGAGAAAAGCCAGGACCCACCTGCTCTGGAAAGATCCCCTCCCAGCTTCAGCAGGTAATCAATCGCTCCTCCCTGCCGCTCAGTCCCTGTGGAACCTCTGCCAGGTCACCTCCCTGGCGGGCCTCAGGGTCACTGTCCCCATGTGCCCAGTGACAGGATGGGGCACAGAAATCAGTGAGAGCCTGTCTGGCTGGATGTCCTAGGGTTGAAAAGAGCAAAACAGCCTGGGAGGCAGCGCTTCATTCTTGTCCCTTTAGTGCTTATGTGTGTCAACTTAACCCTTGCACCTCTGAGCCCAGTGGCAGCTACAACAGCCCGAGAAAAAGTACCACTATTTTTAGGCTTGTTCAAGGCTCTCCTATAAGTTGGTCAAGTTCAAGCTGCACACGCTGTCCTCTGCCTCCATCAGGGAAGGCTCTGCAGTCCCCATGCCACCCCTCACAGCCCCCTTCTTTGGCAGCACGGACAGAGGCAGAGCCCAAGCATCTCGGGTGATGTGGACAAAGCGCATGCCCAGCCCCGCCAGGACTTGGGAGCCCAGGTGGGTGCCAGAAGCTGGCTCTGGCCCGTGAGCCTGTCAGATGGGATGGTCTGGCCATGGGGTGACAGGGCAGGGGCAGGCTGAGCGCTGGCGATCTTACTACAGGCGGGGCCCTGCTCTGCCCTGATTGCTGAGTCCCAGAATGTCCAGTCAGATAATGGTGCTCTCTTGTCTGCGGGCGAAAGGCAATCAGTACCTCCTTGTACTGTGAGCTGAATCGTGCGAAGTCCTGCCGAGAGCGCCCCGGCCTCAGGGGCTGTTCCAGCCCTTGTAATGCCACTGCAAGTCCACACTCCTCCCCATCTCCAGCCCCATAACCATCTGTATGTGCCCTCGGTCCTCAGGGCCACCTCTTCTGTGCTGGGAGAGAGACAGGACCACCTGCCACAGCACAGACTGGTGGAGGAGAGCGAGGCTGCAGAGTTTGTGTGTCCAGAGGGAGCCAGGAGTGCGAGGCCAGCCCCAGGCCATTCCTGTGAGGGCCTGGGGAGGAGGCCAGTGGGCCTCTGCCCGGATGCTGCTCCTCTTCCCCTCCTCCCTCTCTTGAGTCTCCCTGCTTGTCTGAACCTTTGCCATAAGAACTTCTGAACAAGTAGGAAACTTCAAGAGTGCCTCACAAGCTAGCATGGATGGAACTTGGTAATGGATGGAACATGGGGGCTTAGTCTGCCAGAGACACTGTAACAAAGTACCACAAACTGGTACTTACGTGACCAAATAACCAAAGTGTCTTGTCTCCCAGCTCTGGAGGCTGGAAGTCTGAGATGAAAGTGTTGGCAGGGCTGGATTCTCTTAAGACCTCTCTCCTTGACCATCTTCTCCTTGTGTCTTCACCGGGTCTCTGTCTGTGTGTGTGTGCTCTGACCTCTTCTTATAAGGACATTAGTCATATTAGATCAGGGGCCACCCTACTCCAGTATGACCTCATCTTAATTGTAATGACCTTACTCCAAATCATCTCACATTCTGAGGCACTGGGGATTTGGACTTCACTGTATAAATTTTGGAGGGGACACAATTCAGCCAAAACAGTACACATCTCTGATTTCTCCTTATTTCTCTTTTGAAAAAAAAATGAATGGGTGGTCTCAGATGCCTTCTGAAAGAATATAGGAGGTGAATTGGGTTGTGCTATATTATGGATTTGAGACGTATTTTAATATTTATTGTGGAAAATTCCTTCAGGTGTTTAATCTGAGTCATCTGGCTTGTCATAGACAAATTGGGGGCTCAAACAACAAAAATATACTATCTCAAAGTTCTGGAGGCTGGAAGTCTGAGGTCAAACTTACCTGTGAGGCCCCAGGAAACAGAAATGGGACCAGATTCTGGAATGTTCCAGATACTAAGATATCTCACAGCAAGAAGGAAAGGGCCCCCTCACCATCAGTGTGCAATAGTAGCTGGTCAGGGAGGCTCAACATGATGCTTCTTCCATCACACCTGTGTCACCAAGTGTTTGGAACCCATGGGGCAGCTTCCAGGTGGGCAGCCTTCCTCTCTGATGCCACCCCATCAGGGCCTACACTGGGTCAGGTAGCCACCATCAGTCCTCCATGCCCAGCTCCTGTCTGCCTGGTTATCCGAGGAGTCCAGGCCTGGCTGTACTCTTGAAGGAGCCCAGCCTTCTGGGGAGCAGTGACTCAACCAAACACTGAGGTCCCGCAGTGCCTCAGAAAAAGCTGGTTTATGGCAGAGAAAGAAAGGAAACTATCACAGCCTTGTCCCCAGGCATGGCCCTGCTGAGGCTGCCACTCCCTAGGTGTGCCCCTGCCCCACCCTCCATGGCTCAGATCTGGAGGTGCCCCTGTCTTAGGCGCCAAATCCTTTAGGGACTTCAGTGTGTCCTGTGGGCTCTCCAGCTATCTTTCTTCCCAGTGGAACTCCAAAGGCCCCTCAGCGCCAAGTGTCCAAACCTGAGCTACTGGTCTCCACCGTCAACCCCCCCTATTCCCCTTCCCACCTCCACTGCTCACCTGTGGCATGGGCTCTCCTTCCATGCACCGCAGGGCCTGGTTTCTTGGGTTCGTCTCATTTTCCCCCTCTGACCTGGCAGAGTAACTGGGGAGCAGTGAGTAAAAGTACAGCTTCTGGTACAGGGCAAAATCCTGGCATTGCCCTGTACTGGCTGTGTGACCTTAAGCAAGTCACTTTCCCTCTCTCTGCCTCAGTTTCCTCATGTGTAAAATAGGGAGTAGTGATACCTACCTCCAGAGGCTGTCCCCAGTACTAAATGGAATGATGCATGTAAAGTCCTTTGCACAGCGTTCGCATGCTGCGGTAGGTCGCTGGGCACATCCTAATTGGCAGGGCTCTGCCTTCAAATGAGGAGACAAATATCGCCACCTGCTGGCCTCCGAGGGAAATACCATTGTGGGCGCCAGAGGAGATAAGATACTCCCTCCTCCCTCCCTGACCTCTCCCTCTCTTAGCTGGATGAATTCTTTGGCACACCTTTTGCTACAGACCACTGTCACTCCCAGTGGCAACTAGGGCCACACTGGATGAGCCCAGCTGAGAACTTCAAATTGGATCAGAGTTATCTGTGGTTGAGAGCCTGGGGAGGTAGTGGGGCTGGTGGGGGCTGCAGGGGAGGATAGGCTGGGGCTGCCGTAACAAGGTACCAGAAACTGGGTGGATGGAACAACAGAAATTTATCCTTTCACAGTTCTAGAGGCTAGAAGTTCTCAATCAAGGAAGGTGTCAGTGAGGCCATGTGCTCCTCCAAAGGCTCTGGGAGAAAATCTGTTCCAAGCCTTTCTCTTGGCATTTCTTAGCTTGCAGGGGCATCACTCAGCTTCTGCTTCTGTTATCACATGGCTGTCTTCCCTCTGAAGGTCTGTGTTCAAATGCCCCCTTTTTATAAGGACACCAGTCATACTGCATTAGGACCCATCCTACTCCAGTATGACATTATTTTAATGAATAATTATCTTAGTTAACTAATTACCTCTGCAAAGACCCTATTTCCAAGTAAGGTAACATTCACAGACATCAGGGGACAGGACTTCAACATATCTTTTGGGGGGACATAGTGCAACCCATAACAGACCCCTGGAAGGGGTGCCATTTGAGCTGAGCTTTTAAAAAGGAGTCGCTCAGGAGGAAGGCATCGAGGGAGAGGCACCAGGTGGGGCAGCGCTTTGCCCCGATTTCTTCTCTGACATAAGAAGAACCACCAGGGAGAAAGTATGCTTCACTTCCCTGTGATGTCCCCAAGTAGGATGTGTCCCTGCTTCCTGGCACCACGTGCTTTAGATGGCACAGAGTAGGGACAGCAGCCAGGGGCTTTAATGCTGTCGTCCTCATTATCACCCAAACAGGGGACTACTCAACTCACCGTCTGCACCCAGCCCCCCTCCACCCGACCCCTCCTCCTCCTGGGACCCCAGAGTGGCCTTTCAAAAGTGCTGGACTGACCATGTCAAGCCCCTCACCCCCTACTTCAAGCCCATCTGGTTTCCTTATTTAAGAGCCCTGCCAGCTCCACCTCCTCCACCCAGTCTCTCTCCAGTTGGCCTGGGCTGGGCTGCACCTTCATGGAACTTCTCAGGTGCCTTTGGGGCTGGATTTGTCCACAGCCCTACAGCTTAGTAGAGTCGGCGCCCAGGCCACTCCACCCTCATGCTGCCCTCTGTTGGGCTGGGGGTTCACACCTATCTGTACCCCAGGTCTCATGGGCAACCAAAGGCAGGACTGAGTGACTGTAATGTGGACCTGAGTAGGCATGGTTTGCAGTGAAGGGTACCCCCACAAAGCCAGGGAGCTCAGGATTCTCTCTAGGCCCTGCAATGGGGGCAAACAAATGCATGGGACATGGAGGGATGTGTGCAGTCACCCACAGACCAATATCTGAGCACAGGAACCCTCAAAGGGGCCCTCTGAGTGCTGACAATGCCTGATACTCCATGGGCTCCAGCTCACAGGCACCTGTTCTCTTACCTTCATCCCCCGACTCTCTGACGTGCCCCTCCCACTGGCTCTCACTCTAAATGTGGTCTGTAGGTTTCCTGGGCATCTGGTTCATCATTGGTTCCCATCAGCCCATGAACTCAGAATTCCCACTGGCCTCACAAATAGCCACTTTGGATTCTCCAGTGGGGCCACGGGCAGGGCTTGCCTCTGCCTATGTTCAGCAGCATTGTCAGGACTGGCAGTCCCATTTCCACCTAGTAGGTCCCCCACTGTGCCTCAACGAGGCTAGGCTTCAGGGTGGGAGATTGGTGAACGGGTCCTTCAGTCCCCTTCCTCTAGGACCTGAAGGTCAGTGGTCCAAGCTCAGCTGCAGCACTAAGAAGGCTCAAGTCCAAAGGGGAGACAAGAGAAAAGAGGGCAATGGGTCTGGGTGCCCCACCACACTAGCCAGGAGGCTCCTGAGGGAGGATGCCCTGGGAGCATCAGCACAGATGGGGAAGGGGAGGCCTTTCTTACCAGCAACTCTCTGGCTCTCTCCTTTGGCTGCAGCCCAAGAGGTGAGGAGACTGTCTGCCTGCAGATCATGATGCCTGGGGTGGGACTCCGCCTGGTGGCCCCAGACCTGGAAGGAATGAGGTACAGGGGCCCTGCTGCTGTCTGGGCTCCTCAAACACCATTCTAGAGATGGAGGCAGCAGGGCCAGGGTGCAAATGATGCGGCCTGGGGGCTGGTTGGTGGGGGGTATGAGCGACCTGGGAGTTGCTGACTGTCTGCCTGGTGGGGGAGAAACAGACAGAAGTGAGAGCAGTGTGCCAGGATCCCCCTAGAAGTGATGGCTCACCCAGCTGAGCCTTGAGGATGGGACCAGCCAGCTGTGCTGAGTCAGGATATGGGATTTTTGGAGGCCCCCAAGGCCACTGGGGCAGTATCCCTGCCTGTGTGAGAGGGGTCACCAGGATCAGGGCAGGGTCAATGGGTCAGCCTCAACAGCTCAAGAGATGGGGCAGGAGTACAACCAGCAGGGAGCATGGTAGACCCAGCCCCTGCCCCCAAGGTAGGGGCCAGACCACCAGGTAACATGCCGGTAGGATTCAGGGGGCTGGGAGCCAGGCCCCAGGGAAGCTGGGGTGGGGGCAAGGGGATATCTGAGCAGGGAGAGGCCACTTCTCCCTAAGGAGCAGACCCATAGAGGAGGCCTCCTGCTTCTCTGTAGCACGGTGTCTCCAGCTCATTTGGCTATTCACCCAACTAACGTGTGCTAAGCCCCTGCCACACGCCTGACTCCTGTGCCAGGGCCTGGGAGGCGGCAGTGAAGCACACAGACTGGGACCCTGCCTTATGAGGTCTGGGACAGGGGTGCCGGAGAGTCTGCCCAGGATAATCTTCTGGACAGTGGGAGCTCTGAGCAAGGGCCTCTCACCTGCATGGCAGGGGGGATGGAGGTGGTTAGAGAAGGCTTCCTGGAGGAACTGACCTCCAAGACAGGTCCTGACAGATCGCTAGGTCCCTTTCCTCTCTTCCTTGGTTCCTCCCTGTCTACACCCCACTCCACTCAGGCATGGAGTTCTGGTCATTCTATTTTAGAGATATTTCTGTCCCTACTGCCCTCCCTTGGATCCAGGCCTTCTCCATCACTTGCTCCACCCCTCCCCCACCCCCCCATTAGCCTCTGTAGCCTGAAGTCTCTACCTCACCTGGTGAGGCCTGCCCCCGGGCCTGCCACTGCAGCCTCCCCCAGCATCGCTCGTCTGTGCAGCCTGTGGGCTCTGCCCAGGATGCCCTTTTCCCTCTGCAGTTTTCAGTTCCACCTCACATGTCTCCCCTCTGAAGCCCTCCTTTCCCTGTGTCTCTTTCTGAGGCAGCTTCCGTGAGGGGCTGTCCCCGTGGAGTTCACACGGCTCTGTGTTCCTACCTCCAGCAGAGTCACACGAGGAATCACACTTGTCCACTCATAGATGGTGCTCTTCCAAGGACTCCAAGCTCCTGGAGAGCAGGGCTGTGGCTCTGGGTCCCCTCATGTCCTGCTGGAGCTTTCATTGCTGAAATCATTGAGAATCATCCAGCATGATGATCTCTTTAATAAGGCAACACCAAAAGTGGCTTCCTTGGTTTTCCTAAGGTGACGAGTCCCTGAAAAACAGGGGCAGAGTGACCCCGAGAGATTCAGGAAAAAACCAGGCTGTCTCTGAGGAAGGTCTGTGCTGTGTTCCCATAAGGCCTCGGGAGTGCCCCTCCTCCATTTTCCAACAAGAAAGTCAAGTTGGGGCAAAGGGAGAAAGAGGGAAAGCTAGAATTCACTAAGCCCCGCCCTGCTACAAGCAGCCTTGCACGTGCCCCCATACAGGAGGCAGATGCAATCACTACGTCCATTTTACAGATGAGGAAACTGAGACCCTGAAAGGTGAAGTAACTTGCTCAAAGTTACAAAGCCAAGAGCAGGCCAACCCATGGCTCCCACCAAGGCAGCCTGACTCCCACCATGCACGTTTTGCTCCATACTCACTCACTACACTAGTGGGGACCAGGGGGAGGGAAGAGGGAGGGGTGATAGAAATACTTAGTATTTTTGAGTGAATATATGATGAGTTTATTTATAGGTATCTAAATGCAAATTACCAGGAAATATTTGAGGGTTTGCAGTTGAGTTTTGGGAGAGAGGTCAGGGCTCAAGAGATTTCCATATTATAGACAGATGAGAACTGAAATAGGGTTCAATGTCAAGGTTTACATGGGCTAAAATGTCAAGGGAATCAAGGAGAGGGGACAACAAGCTGAACACAGACTTTATCATGGAGGTGGCTACCGCCTGGTCACCCACTCTGAGGGCAGCTAGGGGAGGGTGGTCAGTTCTGGCCATGTTGAAGGTAAGCTACAAGGGCCAGTCCAAGAAGCAGTGGAGGTATGGGTCAGAGCACAGAGTAGGGGGTGGGAACATGCAGAGGTCATTGGTTCATTGTTGGCGGTTGATGCCTTGGGAGCAGAGGAGGTGGCTAAGGTGATGGAGCATGCAGATGGAGAGAAACACCCAGAACACCAACATTCAAGGGGCAGAAGAAGAGAAAAAGGTGAAGGAGACTGGGAAGGTGTGGCCATGGAGGTAGGAGGCAGTGTCAGAGAGTCACATGGACAGAAGGGGGAGAGAAGGCGGGAATGGCCCACTGGTCAGTGCTCCTGAAGGTGATGACAATAGGAGTTTCTCTTTTGAGTTTGACACCATGACTCTCCCTGATGACCTTGGAGAGAACAGAGAGAGTTTGAATCAGAAGGTTAATATCAGTCTTACACTGTGGTGAATTAGAGTCTGGAACTCTGAAGCCAGATGGCTTGGGTTCAAATCTCAGCTGTTCCCTTTGTTACCAATGGAATCTGGGGCAATTCACTCCGGGCTCTCTGTGCCTCAGTTTTCTCATCTGGAAAGTGGGCATGGATAATAACAGTACTCACGTTGTGGGGTTGATGTGGAAAGCTAATGCATGTGGAGTCATGAGAATAGGGTCTGACCCTCAGTCAGCAGAAGCTGTGAGTAGATTTGCAGAATTGGCCAATCCTTCGATACCAGGTTTTAAGCTCCTTGGAGACAGCTGGCATTTGGGGATGCAGTCACTATCCCCTCTGATATGTGGTTAACTTGTGTTTCTTTCCACCATAGGTCTTCCCCAGGTGCCAAAAACAAAGAGGCCCCCAACGCCAGAGAGCCCAAGAGAGACTTGACTGGTGAAGGGGACTTCAAGGGCTCTGATCAAGACTCTGACAGGTAACTCAGTTCAGGGACATGGAGCCCATGCAGCCCACCATCCAAGGCCTGCTGTGTCCCCTGTGTCTGGGGAAGTGCAGATCCTCAAGGAATATCTACTGAAAGAATAAACGAAGAAATGCATGAGGCCTGGAGAGGGGCAGAAGCCTGCCAAGTTCCCTCAGGGAGCCAGCTGCAGAAGGGGACAAAACTCCAGGCTAGGCCACCCCCATCCCAGCCCTTGGCCCAGCCTCACTGTGCTTTTGTTCCATTGAAAGCCACCCTGTTCAGCCAAGGCAAGCAAGGCCGCGAAGCTGGCAGTCTGGGGAAGTCAGTGACCAAAGGGTGCATCTAACAGGGACTTCCAGGATGACCTGTAGACAAAGGGAATGTGGACGGTGGTGGGCTAGGATGGGAGGCAGAGCCTAGCAGGGGATGATGAGCCCAGAGAGGGTGGCTGTGCCCAGGCATCCCACAACCATCCCACTGACCTGTCCTTCAAGCTGGACCAGGGGAGCCTGGGTGTGGTGAACAGTGGCTGAGAGTTGGGTATTTCCTCAACAGGAAGCTGGTAGCCAGTAATGGATAAGAGCACGCAGCCTTGTCTGCCTGCCACTGTCTTCTTAGTGTGGAGCCTCAGACCTTCAGTTGGGATTCAGGCCTGGGAACTAGGGAAGGGGACCCAGGATGGTTTGGGAGCCTGGTCTCTGCCCTGGGTTCTATGCTTTATTAGTGGCCCCAAGTGCTTTGACCCTGGTTATGTTGGCGATTGCCCCCCTCCAAAGTACCAGCCTCCTCCTGAGTTGCCACCTTGCTCTGTTTCTTGCCTCCACTGTTGCTCTCAGCCCAGCAAGTTTAGAAAAAATAGAAATACTGCTGCTGTAGTCTTGGCTCCAAATGGAGCAGTGCAGGGTGGCAGCTGCAGGCTTGAGCTTTTGGTCCTTGAGGCCTGCTCTCAGGACATCTGAGTTTGATCAAAGCAGAAGCCAATTACAGTCAGCAAATGCTTCTCTGCCCATAACAGATCAAGTGCACAGTCAAGTGCTGGCCACGTGGGAGCTGGAGCCACAGGCTCCCCACCTGAAGGCTTGGCTGGAGCAGACATCAGCTCTGGGAGAGGAGGGTGAGCTACCCAGGGGAAGCTGGTGGCCCCAAGTTGGGTATTCTCTCATGTTCCTGGTGACAGGCCAGGGTCAAGTTGCTAAAACTGCTTCAGTTGCTGGGGGCAGAGCACTGCTCATTTCCTACATTCCTGCCTCCTGCTTCTCCCGGCGCCAGCACTCCCGCTGCCATCACATCCTCTGTCCTTGGGCTTTCCGCCTCAGGGAATTACCAGTGCTGAATCTTGCTCCTTCTCCTACCCTTTGCCACTGGCTCTCAAGCCCCTCCCAAGGAGGCACAAGGCGGGCGCGAGACAGGTAGGACGGACGTGCCTTCTTCCTCCTTGGCTGAGCGCTCTCATGCCTGCTTTCTCCCTCGCCTTCCAGAAGCCCCCAGTCCTCCCCCTCCACCCCCCGGCCCCTCTCCTCCTCTGGCCAGCTTTGCTTTCAGGGTCAGTGAGCAGAAAAGCAGCAGCCCCGGTGAGACAGACTAGGAGTGTTTCCAGCTGGGCTCTGAGTTTTTGGATCTGGGTGGAGTCCAGGGCCATTTTCTTAGGTGATTTGGGGAATGGCTCCAAGCCAAGCTTGCGTCGTCCTGCAGATGCTGGCACAGGTACGTCAGCCCCAAGCTGTGCTACAGCCCTTATGGTTCAGAGCAGGTGGCCAGAGGGGAATGGCAAAGCCAGTGTCTGCAGAGAGCCATGAGCACACGCTGCCAGCCGGCACCCTGCACTCCAGGCGTCTGCCTGAGGAAGGAATCCCTGCTTTCCCAACTGGCTCTTTTGGCTGCCCCCATGTCTCCAAGCCCACTGAGACCCCTTACCCTCACTTTGTTGACCAGGTTGCAACTGATGCCTGGCCCCAGAGCCCCCACTTCCAAATCAGGAGCACAAGCCAGCACGGGGAGAGGACAGTGGGCCCCAGCCTCTGCCCACTGAGCCTCAACAGGCAAAAGGAGAGGCCACAAGGCCAGGGCCTCAGTTCTCTGAGCTGCCACTGGTGGGGAGGACTGTGCAGACCCCAGCACCTGCAGCCTGCACTGCCGAGTGCTGGCCAGCATGGTCCTGCACACTGACTCCATCCTCTGGTCCAATGTGACAGGTTTGGTTCTTGACTGCTTTGTCTTTGAATATTCATCCAGATCACCCTTCTTACTTATGCACCCTCAAAAAGTGAATGCTTTGCTTTCTGCTTTTGGTTTCCTTACAATGAAGCCAAAGCTCATACTAACTTACAAGATTAGCTGAAGAATCTCCTAGATTCTTATGATTTTTAAGTCTTTCATGTTGTCTTAACTACACTGATTTTGGCAATGATTCTTAAGAGACTTGCGTTTTTTGTCTTTCCAAAGAAAAGGTTGTTTCTCATGAAAAGAAAACCACTCTCCTTTTCCATACATTTTCATGAGTTTACTCAATAACTGAATTTGGTCATACTGTTTGTGAGCACAACTGGCGTAAATGAGTTTGGGAGCAAACACGAGGAACTTTTGGTGAGCGTACTATTCAGGTGGAGGGTGCAGGTTCGCACAGGAGGCGTGGTGCCCTCTGAGGCCTGGCTGCTTGGTGTGCTGTGATTTACAGAGAGGTGGAGTATCCAGCCTTCCCCTGGGAAGGCTGCATAAGACAACACCCACTGAATCTGTCTTAACTTGATGTTAGGGCCCAAGCAGGATTCTAAGCATTTGGCATCTATTAACTCAATTACTCTTCTCAGAAAACGTATGAGCCAGACCAGTTATCATCCTCATTCCACTGACATTAGACTGAGGCCCAAAGACATCAGGTGATGTGCCCAAGATCACACAGCCAGGAGGTTAGCAAAGCTGTGATGTGCATCCAAGCAATGTGCCTCCAGGGTGTATACACTTAATCACTAAGGCACACTGCCCTGGTGTCAGTCAGCCGTGGGGTAGAAGTGACTATTGTGCCCCGAGCATCTGTTTGAGCAACTCCCCAGTCTCCATCATCTGTCGGGGACAGTAGCCAACCTCTCGAAGAAAGGAGACATACAGACACAAAGTTCTGAATCAACCAGGCTTGACCTCCTTCCACAGACTGTGCTCAGCTGCTGGCTTCAGCCCTGTCCTGGATGATCAGGAGGTAGACAGCGCCAACTTGCAGCCTCGCAAGCCTGGACCAGCAGCCACCAGGTAAGGGCAGAGCAACTGCCCCATGACCAATCCCATTGCCAGACAGCCTTCAAGGTTCATCCTCGCCTTCAGCACCCCAGGATCCCCCTTGTGCTTCTCAACCATCTTCACATCAGGTGATCACCACAGGAGAGGGAAGGCTGGGAGGGGCCCTGACCTGGAGGTGAACTCACTCACCTGGGGCAGTGCGAGAGGGGGTACAGGTGATAATTCGGGAGACCCATACAACTCAGCAACTACCCACAGGGATCCAAGCTGAGATGGTTGAGAAGAGGACATTGGGAGGCAGAGTTTGGGAAAAGACCCTGCTAGGAGGTCTCTGTGAATCTCTCCTGCAGGGACTGCAGCCTGGCCCAGCAAGCAGGAGTTGGGGGAGGAGTCCCAGGGACTGCTAACCGGCAGCACAGGGCTCAGTCCCAGAGAGCATGTGGAGGTGGCTGGGGAGGCACTAAGTTGCAATGGGAAGAAGTTGTGTGTTTCCAGGCTGCAGGCTTCTGCCCTATTTCATCTCCCAGTCCACCAGTGGGAGCGGCCATTTTGCTGGGGGTGTGTGGCACTTTTAGTAAAGAACGATGTTTCTGGATTCCTACAGGGCCCCAGGAAGTGTAGGTCAGGCAAGTATACTGGAACCCAAAACTAGGAGTAGACTTCCTCAGGGATTCCAAGCTGATCATGGCCACGGCGTAGTCTTGACCTCAAGTGCTAAGGCTACAGCCAGGGCTCACAAGATATTCTCAGATACAGTGGCGTCTGTGCCACACTAATGGCAGCCTTTATTGGCAGATGTGGGTCCCCCTTCCCTGAGAAGTGGAAAACCTGGGCCCCAGTCACCTTTGGTCTGAGGCCTCAGCAGGCCTGTGTGCTTCCTCCCTTAGTTCTGGTGCCACATTGGCCTCTGCTGTCCTGGCTGACAGGAAGAGCAACAGCCCAGCAGACCTGGAGGACACGGAGACAGACCTGAAGGGGTAAGGCACCAGCCAACGGTATGGAGCTTCCGTGGTGCAGCAAGGCAGCTCAGGTGTGCATGGGCCTTTGGCTGGGAAGGTGAGGCCAGTGAGGCCTGTGAGCTGGCCCAAGCAATGCAGCAACGGCCAAAGCCCCAGCTGAAAACCTCTGGCCTCTGCCTTTGAGGCCACAGAGCCTTCCATTACACCTTGTTGCCTCTGGCCAGGAAGTCCTCCATAAGCAGGAAGTTAGTGACCGCTTCGACGGTACCTGCCCTGTGCTGGAGGCTGGAGCACAGAGACAAATCTGACATAACTGATGGGGGCAAAACCTGGCCCAGCCTGGAACAACACACCATGTTGGAGCCCAGGATGGCTTCATGGGGCAGGTGGCTTTTGAGCTGAATCCTGAAAGGTGACTAGGAGTCCTCCAAGCAAAGGGAACAGGCTGTACAAAGGACTGCAAACAAGCTGGTGTTTTCTGGGCACTGTATGTAGTGGAGTATAGCCAGTAGTGAGGATCCTTGTGGGAGGAGTGGTGAACAGTAGGCTTGTTGAGGTAGGCAGGGGCTGACTGGCCTTTAGTACCAGATATCATTAATAATCACAACAGCTACTTCACTTTAGGGGCACCTACTGTGTGCACAGCCCTCTACTCTCATTCAGTCCTCCACACAATCCTGTGAGGTTTGCACCTAACCATAATGAAGAACAAAGGACTGGAACCCAGGTCTCTGTGACTCCTGGGAAGAACAGTGCTCTAAAGAAATAGACAGGATGCTAAGATAGTGATATTGGAAGGAGGGCTATTACTTAGATGAGTGGAGGTGGTGACTCAGCAGAGCTCCTCTAAGGAAGAGAAGGAACCAACAACTCTAGGAGGAGCAACGAGAAAAGAGGTGAAGCTAGGTAACCACAGACTTAAAAACCCTGCTGTGAGAACACGCTTAGCAGGTTCCAAAGCATACAATGGCTGAAGCCTACCCGGTAAGGGGGACCATAGCTGGAACAGGGCCTTGGTAAACCATGATAAGGAGATTGTATCTTATTTCAAGTTTTAAGCCAGTGAGGAGGATGGTCTGATTTAGGTGTTTAAAAGGTGAGTGAATTTTTACAACTGCACACCACACTGCAGTTCCTTTTTTACATAAACCATGATGCTGCGGTTTGGGTGGGCAATGGATCTCCAAGGTATGGGGCCCTATTCTGTGCCTTTTTTGTTTCACATTTCACTGAGAATTAACAGAGTGAAAAGAATAACTGACACCTAGAGTGCACTTTACTAGGTGCTTTTCAATCTTCCCAGAAACTGTGTGAAATGGGTAAGATGGGGAAACTGAGGCACAGAAAGGTTAAATGACTTGGCAAGGGCTTACAAATGGCAGACTTGAGTCCGAAAGCCAGAGGCTCTAAGAAAAACTTTAAAAAGCTACTTTATGAAATCTGTTCTTTGGAGCCTATTCTCAAGACCCAGAACCAGTAACTGCCAGATGGTTAACGTGTACAGCATGCAATCTGTATAGTCTCACCTAATTTTCCCCAAACCTGGGGCAGGATCTGGATTCTTATACAATTTGACAGTGAAGGAATGGAGGGCTCCTGTGAGGAGCAGAGCTAGGAATAGAGCTCAGATCTAGCCAACTCTAGAGCACAGACTTGGAACTACTCTCCTCTGATTAAATGTTTGTAAAATCAAAGCAAATTTTCTTGATCAGTGTTTGACAACTCTGGCTGCACTTGAGAATCATCTGGGAAGTGTTAAAAATAATTTTTTAAAGCATCGTGAGCCCCATGCAGAGAGATTTAGATTTAATTCTTCTGAGGTGGGCCTCCACTATCAATAACTTTTTTTTTTAAAGCTCCCAGTTTATTTCTATGTTCAGCCTAAGCTGAGAACTACTGTTCTAGGGTAGTGGTTCTGAACCAGGGGCATCTCCCCAATCTCCCACCCGCTGGGAGTCACTTGCCATTGTCTGGAAACACTACTGATTGCCACAACTGGGATAACGGTGTTACTGGCAAACGGTGGAGACCAGGGATGCTGTCTAACGTCCTACAGTGCATGGGACAGCTCCCACCAACCACACGGTTATCCCCTCTAAAATGCCAATAATGGCGACGTTGACAAACCCTGATATAGAGCTGTCATGATCTCTGCGGGTAGGAAGGAAAAAAGCGGTGGACGCAGACTGTTCCCACCCGGTCAGCAGGGATCGGGCGACGGTCGCAGAATGTGCGCGCCGGCACTTAAGCGCCTGCGCGTGTCCCCGATTGTGAGCGCCTGCGCGCGTCTGGGTCTAGTCAAGCGTTGAGACGGCCCTGTGTGCGCCTGCGCGTGCGCCTCTCTGGCCCGTGCGCGCTTGGATTCCGCGTGAGGGCGCCTGCGCGCGCCGCCATTAACTGCAGCGGCGAGCTTGCCTCGCGGTGCCTGTCGGGAAACGCGACGGTTCGCAAAGCGAAATGGCTTCCCTGGGCGCGAGAGGCCTCGGCGGCGCTTCTCCCGCGGCGGTGCCCGCGCCGGCCGCCAGATGTCGCGCGAGGATCACAATTGGGCCGAGCCGCCCCTCAGCTCTCGGGCCGCCCGAGGCTGCCTCTGCACTTCCCCCGCCTGGCCCGGAGGGCCCGGCGGTCCCACAGGCTTGGGGTTGAAGCAGCCCCCCGCCCCGCACGCCCGACCACGTGTGGACCACCGCGCCGCGATGAAGGGGAGAGCAAGGGAGCTCGGTGCCCGCGAGGAGCCGAGAGGGGCTCCTGTGGCCCGAGCCCGCTTGGTCGTCTCTGGACCCTGGGCGCGGGTCTTCAGAACCTGCCGGGGGCACGAGCTGTGGACACGCGGGGAGGGCAGCTGGACGCTCCAACCACGAGGGACCCCTCACGCCCACCCCGAGGAGGACCTGCCTGCGCTGGGCGTGGGGGGCGGTTCCGTGGGGGGAGGGGCGTTAGGTTCCCAGGAGTTAGGGTGAGGGAGGGTGAGGAGGCTCATGGGGGTGGGCAGGGAGATCTGCAGAGCAGGGGAACTGTCCCAAAGTTGAGGAACTCTGCCATACTCTTAACTTGCTTTTGCTTCATCACACTACTCACACGTACAGGAAGAGGCGGAGCATGGACGCCTGTGCTTGGGCTCAAATCTAAGCTCTGTCACATACTCCCCATGTGGCCTTGGGCAACTTACTCATCTGTGCTTCATTTTCCTTACTTGCAGAGTAGTAGCTATACTAGTTCCTACCACGTAGAGTTGTTGTGACGGTTAAATGGATTTGTATGTCCAAAGCATGTAGGACATTTCCTGTCACAATGTACTACATCAACGTTGAATTCTCTTTTTATAAAAACTTACTAGACTTTACATCTAAAACGTATGCTGTTTTCCTCTTATGTTGCAAGTTTCATCTTTTCAGGGTTATGTTCTCTCTTCAAGAGAAACAGGTGAACTTTAAGCACATTTATTCACTGTGGACAATGCCTGTCAACTACTAGAGGTAGTGCAAGAGTAGAAAGGGCTGTTCTCTTCCATGTAGAGTGTGATTGTGTCCAGAATTGGCATTAGGTGTATTAGGCTTCTAGATCTTTGATCTCGTTACAGCCAGACATATTACCTTCCCTATCTCTAAACACTTGACTTCCAGGCAGTTCATTAGGGGCCTGGACTCTGGGATGTTAAATTGCTCAGCAAGATGTCCTGTGATTGTTTTACTAAGACATCTTTTTTATGGGTGAGGTGAGTTACACCTTGTATAATTGTAGTGACTCTGCTCTGAGTCCTAGGGCAAAGGAGCCTTATTTGTCCACTTGTCCTTGTGTCACAGTGGACCCCCAGATTGCTCTTTGCTGAGAACTTGGCTTTATTGACAAACTTGGTGAGGATAACCTCTATTACCGTAATTCTGTAGGGAACATTGGAAGGGATAGAACTCAGACTAAGTCCGTGGTAAAGCTAGCTCAGGGCTCCCAGAGTCAGGAAACAAGCTGTTTAGTCTTCTTGGTTTGCCTTTGGCTCAAATGTTTGTGTCCCAGGCAGAGGTGAGGTGGGTGTGTCAGGGCATTCTGCTGGCCAAGGGAGCAGCACTATGTGGAAGGACCACTTTTGGTACCTGGCTGGGCTGCAGCACATCACTGGGTAGAAGCAGCACAGAAAGGCCCAACACTGATGTGCCTGCAGATCTACCAGGTGCAGTGGATGTGGTAATCAGCTTGTTGTCCCTGCTGGGATATTCTGGTTCCTTCCACCTGAGGCTGATGAGTCACATTGCTTTCAGGGCGTACTCTCCAAGGTAGGAACACTGCCCCCCTTATTCCACCTTGAAGGCAGGGAGCCTACCTACTGTGGGCTTAGTTTCCTTGAATCCCAGGGCTGGAGGTCGCTGGGGGTGTGATCTTCTTGTCCTGAGGTAGCCCCACCAGCGATTGGAGGCAAGCTGCTGATGCTGGTAGGGTTGAGTTCAGGATGGGCCAGGATCAAGGTGATGGTGAACTATAGTTTCATCTTCTGAAATTCATCTAGTACACGTGAAGATTGCCTTTATCGACTGGAGGGGAGCAGCAGTCCTGGGAAGGAGACGAACTCTCTCCAAGCTAGGGGCCCTGCCAGACTCCTCTCTGTCCTGCCCGCCCCGGGAGAGGAGCCTGCTGTGGCCATGGGAGGGGATATTTGTGTGCAGAGGGTGAGCAAGGGCTGGTCCCACGGCACTCGCTCCATAAGGGTGCTCGTTCTTCCTCAGCTCCTTGGCAGGTTTTGAGGAGAAGAATGTGGTCACCAAGGTGGTAGAGGCCTGGCAGGGGAGGCCTGGAGCCCTGAGAGATGGCCAGGGAGAAGCAGCTGCACCCACCCAGCCATCTGCAGACCCCAGCACCCCAGAGCAGCAGAGCAGCCCTGGAAAACCTGCACAGCTCCTGGAACTGGACAGCCAGGCCAGCAGGTAAGGCCTATGTTGTGCTGGGCTTCTGCCTGCCAGACCGGACTTTTGTCAGGGGCCACAACCTAGGTGTGACCTGCTCTTGCTTCACATGCATGCCAGTGCCTGGCACATTGCACACCCCAGTGCTCAGGCTCCTGTCCCGTGAGTGGGGTTAGGATGGTGACTCCCTGGGCATGGATCAGGGACAAGGGGCTTCTTTTGGTGCTGTGGGCCTGTGATGGAAGCAGTTGTCTGTACCCAGAGGTAAGAAGCTGTAACTAATTTCTGACATGTGGAGCAGGAAGGAAGTCTTGCAGAGTATATGAGCACTGCAGGTTGGGGGTCAGAGGTCAGGTAGGGGCTATTTGTGTGTCTAAAATGGCTCTGTCTGAGAATGAGGGAGAGAGGGGAGGGGAGAACACGAGAGAGCGTGTTAAGGTGAGCAGAGAGAGGAGGTCAGAGTGACAGGAAGAGAACATGGCTGACAGTAAGAGTGGGACTGTCACTGGAGGTGACCATGTGGTGTGGGTGTGGGTGTTCAAGTCAAAGCTCTCCTGATGGATTCTGGCCTGCTGGCCCCTGCACTGGGTGCCCTGTACAGCTTACAGATGCACTGTCAGATCTCTGAAACACAACGTGTTTGTATTGCTTGGAGATTTTGAGGAGAGCGAAGGAGAGTGAAGGAAATCAGTTATCGCTTCTGCAGATCCAATTGAATGGTTTCTCACACAAGACAGATGCTAGAAGGGAAGAGTCGAGACTTTCACCCAGAAGGCAGGAGATAGTTCCTGTGGCTCGTCTTGCAGGGATAAAAGTAAAACGTTCATCCACCCTCGTGATACTGGGATTCTTATACCATAGAGGTTCCATAGTTAAATAGGAGGCTATTTTTATACCCATCCTTGGCCCCCAGCCCTGTAGAAACCCAGGCCAAAGACACTGATGCACAGCCTTGGGCTTCCTGCCACACTACTCAGTGTAGTGTTCCATCTGTCAAGACAGAGTATAAAAAGTGCAACCTGTAGATGAAGCAGGAGGTGATTGGGTTTCTTTTGGGGTTGGGGATTGGGGGGTGTCAGGAAGACTTTTTTTATAGGTGGAATGAGGTTGGAGCTGGAAGCCTTTGCCAGACAGACAGATATGCTGTAAAGGAAATGCAGAGTCAGGGTGAGCACAGTGAAGGAAGGGTGCATTGGTGGCTTGGTGGGAAGTGCTGAGAGGCAGTTGGGCACCACCTACTCCTAGGCTGAGGAGTAGGACCCACCTTCTGACAGTTTTCATGAAGGTGAATGTGACAACCAGACATGACTCGTAGGAAGATTCCCTCCAGCTGGAGGTGAGGGGAAGTGGTGGCCAAGGCTGGTACTGAGATTTCAGTGTGGGGCGACTGGGTATAATCGTGGCCCTGCACTGTGACAGGAACTAGCCAAGGGCCAGTGAGGAGAGTAGGGGGTATGCTGTGCAGAGATCTGATAAGGTCACTTGGGCCATGTTGAGTGTGAATCCAGGCAATGATGTCCAGTAGACTACTGAGTGGTCGGGTCTGGGATTGAGTGAAGGCTAGACTGGGGCCTGCAGAGTGTAAGAGCTTGCCTGGAGAACATAAGTGGACCAGGGTTTGGTGGGGCGCCATTTCCCTGGTCTCTTGTTTACACTACTGGCCTCCCTTGCTCCTCCTATGCTCTTGGGCAGGAGTGGCTTATTTGCTTGCCAGGTTGAGAACAGGAACTGCATGGACCCAGCTTGGCCCCTAATTCTCCTTGTCTTTGGAAGCAGATGGCCTTAGATACGCAGCCCAGAAGGATCCCCCTGAATTCTCTGCCTCTCTCCACAAGCTCCCAGGGCCAGTTGTCCAGCCAGTCCCTTGGCTGAGTAAGTCTTTGTGGTTCAGGGATGCAAGGGAAGCCTTCGTTTTGGTTTCTGCATGTAAAGCCAGCTGCTTCCTTAGCTGACATTTATCTCCATTTTCTGCTCTTGTGTCGAAAAGAAAAAAAGAAGGTATTAATTACTGGCCCCCTAAAACTCTAATAATGTATGTAAAATGAAAAAAAAGTAAAAATAAGAGAGAAACAAAGGCAGATGGGTTAGAATTCTAGAAAATCATTTCGAAGAGTCTTTTACAGGAAGAAGATGTGAGGAGGGGTACTGAGAAGGAAAATTTTGCATAAGTGGAAGAATATGGAAAGAGTACAGTCATGGAAACCAAGCCAAGCTGACTTAACTTTCCAGTGTTCTGTGTACCCTAAAATAAGGGCACCAAATTTGATGACATGGAGCTTATAGCTGCCTTGATGGGAGAAGGTTAGGGAAACAGAAAGGGTGGTGTTTGGATTATGGTGGATTGAGGAGGCAATGGGAGGTGAGGAGGTGCACTTGGTAGAAATACACAACTCCAAAATGGCCATGAAGTGATAGATGTGGGAGGGGTGAGCAGATACACAGTTACAGGATGATCGGGAGGGCTTCCTAGAGTGTGCTTGTGTGCCCAGGGAGGAAATATCGGCCGGAGAAGGAGAGTTTGTTGTCAAAAAGAGAGTGAGCAAACCTGAAGGTGAAGGATCACTGAGGTCACAGTGGGGGCTGGCAGGTGGTAGTGGTTTTGTGTCTGAGATAGGAGGGAAGGCTGAGTGCACATGTAGGTCAGACAGGAGGGGGAGGAATGAGCAGAGTAATGTGGGTGCCTTCCTTTGTTCTGTGACTTAATGAGCCATACATTCTGTAATTAAACCAAAAGTTTACTTAGTAATTAGCCAGTGGCAAGACATGTGTAAGCACTGGAGAAACAGACAAATAAGACTTAGTCCCTGCCCTTTGTCTCCGTGACCTGGGGGGACAGATAAGGCAGGGTGGCAGCATATACCAGAAGGAGCACGTGTCTTGACGGGACTCACGGAATCAGGGAAGGCTTCATGGAGGGGATAGTGGATGTTCCTCTTGAAGTTTGCACAACGGTGAAGAAGGGGTCCAGGAGTAAGTGAATCTCCTGTGTGTGGACTGTAGACAGGTAGCTGGGAGCACCGTTCAGTTTGATACAGCTGTAGTTTATGGAGAGAAAGCAGTGGAGGAATTGATGTTGAGCAGATAGTGTGCAGACAGGAGTTAACGTAGCAGATCAGAGACTACTCTCCTGAGAAAAGCCTGTTTGCAGGGTAGGCCCTTAGCTGGCATTTGGGAAGTTGAAACAGTGAACGGTTTTCTGCACTGATATGAACCTTTCCCTAAATAATGAGAGGTAAGGCTGACAGCCTGGATCACTTGTACAAACAGTGTGCTCTGCTGGATCTTGGCTTGTCTTCTCGGATTGGGGAACTTGGGTATATTCCAGGCAGAAAATGCCTACGTGACCAGCCTCCAATAAAAATCTTCAACTGTGGATGAAAACACTGCCTTTTCCTTTTGCTGATTTTGCTTGGTATCCTTTGGTGGCAATAAATTGGATGACTATGCTGAGTCCTGGGAGTTCTCCTAGTGAATCACTGACCCTGAAGGTGGTCCTAGAGACAGCAACACAAAAACTAAGTGATCACAAGCACAGGTGGGCAGGGTCAGGTTCTTATGCCATTAAGGACTTGGACTTTCTCCAGAGGACAAGGAGGAGCCAAGATTTCTTTTTAAATGGTTGTAAAATACACATGACGTTAAAATTAACCACCTTAACCATTTTTAAGTGTGCAGTTCAATGGCATTAAGCACGTTCACAGTGTTGTGCACGCATCACCACCATCCACCTCCAGAACACTTCCATCTTGCAAACTGAAACTCTGTCCCATGAGCAATAACTCCCTATTCTCTCTGCCCCTACCCCTGGCACCCACCATACTACTTTTTGTCTATGAATTTGACTACTCTGAATACCTCATGTAAGTGGAATCATACAGTATTGGTCCTTTTGTAACTGGCATCTTTCTCTTAGAATAACATCCTAAAAGTTCATCAGTGTTGTAGCATGTTTCAGAATTTTTTCCTCTTTAAGGTTGAGTAATATTCCATAATATGGACTTAGTGCATTTGTTTGTCTATCCATCCATCAGTGGACACTTGGGTTGTTTCCACCTTTTGACTATTGTAAATAATGCTGCAGTAAACAGAGGTGTACAATATGTCTTCAAGATCCTGCTTTCCAGCCTTTTGGGTATATACCCAGAAGTGGAATTGCTGGGTCATATGGTAATTGCATGCTTAAGCTTTTATAGGAACCACCATACTGTTTTCCACAGTGGCTGCACCCTTTTCCATTCCTCCTACACAGCCAGAACAGTTTTAAGCAGGGGATTGATATGGTCAGATTTGCGTTTTAGAATTATCTCAATGGCAACAATGAAAAGAATAGACTGGAAGTGAGCAGTGTGCAGACAGGGAGAAGAGCTAGGAAGTGGCTCCAGTCCTCCACGTAAGAGATGATGGAGCCACGACTAGGGTGGTAGCTGTGGAGTTGGAGACAGAGAAAAGTGTTCAGTAAGTATAATGGACCCAGAATTGGGCACTCAGTAAGACTTGGGGGAGCAGTGAGGGAGAAGGAAGTGCCAAGTCAGAAATCACATGCCTAGGTGGATTACATAACCCCTTCACTGCCTGAAGCCAACTGGGAAAATGCCCAGGAGATATCAAGCCAAAGCAGCACACTCAAAACAGGTCAGCGGACAAGGGCACCCAAGGCAAGGCTCTGGCTTCCAACTGGACGTCCTGCCTAGCATCCCCCTGGCATACCGTGCCGTTTCTGAGGTGGGCAGCAACACTTTGCAAGCGCCCTTAGTCTCTTCCTTCTAGTAGTCCAAGTCCTCGAGCATGCTGAGGTGTGGCTGTGGACAGCTCCTCTTTCCAGACCCAGCAGGGTTCTCCATTTCCAGTCTTTGGGTCCAGTCGCTGGCATGGTGACTCAGTAGACTAGGTTCATCAGGAAGGGTGGTATTTGGAGTCTGTATGCCAAGGGATTAAAGACTGCTTACTGCTAATAGTCTCAAGTAGCAATCAGTCCCTCAGCCCCAGAATGGGCAGGTGCCAGGAGGAAAGCTAGTCACAGTACCCTCCTAGTGGACGAAGCCTGACTAGTCTGGGGTTCGGGGAAGCACAGAGGGAGGCAGAGTGAGAGCCACAGGGAACAGTAGCAGCAGCACTGTGAGGAAGAGTGGATGGAGAATAGTAAAAATCCTTGTCAATATTTTAGAGTCTCTGAATTGACCAAGTTAGAAGTTTTGAGAGCCCAGACAGAATAGAGAATTCTCATGGGTAGGTTGGTTATTATTTCACATAGGAACAGTTGGTGTGGTCCAGCAGAAGAGGACCAGAGGACAGTCAGTGCCAAGGATAAAACCTTAGGCCATGGGAGACTGAATTCTCCCATCAGTTTAGCAAACTTTAATTTTCATAGTTCATTAGTGCTGTCATTTCAGATGACTAAGGATAATAAAGACAATGTAATTTGTGTTATAGAGGAAGAACTTGTTGGGTTTCTTAGATGACTTAACTGGTGAAATGGATTCCTCAGTCACTTGAAAGAATTAGAATCCTTGTTCTAACAAATTTTTAACAGTAATAGGAGCAATACCCCTCTTAAAAGGGAATGCTTCTAGTCAGTCAAGGAACAGACACACGGTACTAGGACCGTATCTAAAACCATGATATTTAAGAGCTGAATGAAGTCAAATTGCCCATGAAGAAAAGGTCCTGAACGTCTGTATTTTAACAAAATCCCATAGGTAAATGATATGAATTTCCAGTTGAAAACCACTGGCCTAGAATACACTGTATTTAAATTTTAAAAAGTAAAATTGCAACTAAGATAACATTTTAAAAATAATTGAAATTATGACATAACATTGTGCTTTTGTTGTCTAAATAATCAGGCAAGGCAGCACCAGGACTCTGAGAAATAGAAACATATGGCAGTAAGGGCACTGACAAATCTGTAAGAATTTTACCTAATTAACATCTTACCCATCAAAATTTAATTTAGGAAAGGCTCACCATTATTACTATTATTATTATTGGGTTTGACAATGCTTCCTATGCAATTTACACAATATTAAAAAAACCCAATTATTTTTAGCACCTCTTTTATTATAAGATGAAAGAATAAATAAATCCTTTGGGCCTTCTTGGAAATCCCAGTGTCAGTATTAGGTGTGAAAGATATCTCAGATTTGATTTGGGGAAGGCAAAATGTCAAATGTTATAAGGAGGTTTGAATGTTTGATTAAATAAGATTATGGGACAGTGAGAAATAATACTTGGTTATCTATTGAGTCAAAGTGACAAAAAATTTAAGGTAATTATAGGAGGTAACATGATTGTAAAGACTCTTAGCTCCTTTAAAATTAAAAAGCCTTTAAAAAATAATTGAGGACATGGAAAAGTCAACAGAAAGGATAGGACATCAGTTTAATAAGACATAAAAGCTTTGCCTTTTAGACAGATTACTCAAGAGGAAATAAATACCATTTATAACCTTTTATTAAGAGCAGACCAATGATCCAATAAGATTTTGTTACTTTTAACAAAGAGAAAGCCAAGTTTTAGATTTGCATCAGTATATTTGATGCTAGAACTCTTTTCAAAAAATTTTATACACAGTCTCATTAAATTAAAGTCAATTTTGACTACAACAAATAACACTTCTGTGAACGTTTTATAACTTTAAAAATATCCATTTACATTTCATTTTACATGTTTCTGAACCACTAGTTATTTTAATTTAGGGCAAAACTATTCTCTTTTTCCTTAACAAAAACATATTTGCATACCTGGCATACAAAGTTGTTTCCCTTTGCCATTATTACTTTTAGAAGTCTCTTTTATACATATTGCTTATAATTTTAACTGAGTAATTTCTCTCTTATAGAGAAAACTAAGAGACCATTTTGAACTGTCATATACCAACATTTTGTAGCAAACTAGTAAATCTTATGAATGTATGTCTCATAAAACTTGATAGTTACATACTTTTTATAGTATAGTTTTTCAATGTGGACAAATGAACACATTAACAGATCCAAATGTAGCCTCTCTGTGCTATAAAAAATAAGCAAAAAGTATATAAACTTAAGATTAGGGTTAGTAATTAATGTTTTGGTATTTTATCTTACTTAGAAATGATCTCTGTATTTACTGAATATCTATGAGTTGATTTAATTTTGCCTAAGTCTAAGGTTTTAAATTACGAAAAAGATTTTGGAACCTGTCTTTAAGCTGATGTATTATAAAACACAATTGCCAAGTATGCTCAACTTGAATATGAAGATTAAAGCTTCCTACTAATATTTTTATAGGAGGCTTTTAATTTTTTTTCTCCTGATACACAATCTTCTGGAGACTGTAGACTAAATTGTGGGTGGGGGACCAAGGAGAAACCAAACAGCCAGTTAGGGTTATCTCCAAGGCTCATCTACCTGGACAGAATATCCAGAGCATTTCCAATTAGGTTTTTCAGGCTCATATTGTTGCGTTTGTGCTCCCTGGTACCCTGGAGAGCCCCCAGTGGAGGTAGGGACCTAAAGGGCAACATACTGGTCTTAGACACGTGAAGGAGGAGAGGTCTTTCGGCACAGATAGTTTGGGATATTGTGGAGCAATAGTAGTTTCTGTGGAGGGTTGACTGGGAGAAGGAAGTGAAGAAGTTAGAAGAGTGAGTGCACACAGCTCTTTCAAGAAGCTTGGCTGTTGTAGGGGGTTGAGAAGCCCCGGGATTGGGGATGAGGTGTTTTACGTTAGGAAAGGCCTTTTTGTTTATTTTAAAGGGGCCATTTAAATGATGAGCCCTAGCTTCTGCTTGCACCCTACTTCCATTCACAGATGTAGATTTAGTGATGGGCAGTGTAGCGGCAGCTACGTGATCAGATTTGAGCCGCAGGGAGTGGGGTTGAAATTACATCCTGAGTGCCATTAATGAGATGCAAGCAGACGTTCAACCCCAGCCTTTTCATCTATTAAAAAAAGAATGAAAATGCTACTGCTTCGTAATAATAAGTGTGACTACTTCTTAATAAAAAAGACAAGTAGGTCCTAGCTGTTATAAGCAAAGTGGCCAGAAGAGTACGCATGCGCTTGCCTGCCCCGGACTCGTGAGCCCTTGCCTTTGGCGTAGTGCGCCTGCGCCAGCCGCCATTTCCTGCAGTCGTGTGCTGGGACCGTGGTGTCCTCCGGGAAATGCGACCATCAATAAAGAAAATGGCTGCCCTGGGCAAGCTTGGCCTTGGCAGGGCTTCTTCTGGACCTTGCCCGTAGCGGCCGCCAGATGGCGTGCGAGGATAACAAGTGGATTGGACCACAACTCTCAGGTCTTTTCTGGAGCCTTTGAGTTTTCATGGCCCTTCCCACTTCGCTGTAGGATCACCAGTCCGTTTGAGAATGTAGCGAGCCGGGACGATTCTCTTCCACCTCCGTCGCCCCCACCCAGCGCGCCAAGGCAGCCTGGGGGAGAAGCCCCCTGCCAGAGAGCTGCGTCCCTGCTGGGCTTTCGTGCATGGGCCTTCCGAGCACCGCGGCCTGGGGAAAAGACAGATTAAGTGGGACTGGGAAGGTTTGGAGAAAGGAGGGTTGGCAGAAGGAAGAGGGGGACAGAAATGCTGCTGTTTCCACCTAGAAAGAGACAGTTTTTTAAAAAACTTGTTGAAGTAATCAGGGTGTTCTTGGGGACTGCCTTTATTGACTGGAGGGGAGCAGCAGTCCTGGGAAGGAGACGAACTCTCTCCGAGCTAGGGGCCCTGCCAGACTCCTCTCTGTCCTGCCCGCCCCGGGAGAGGAGCCTGCTGTGGCCATGGGAGGGGATATTTGTGTGCAGAGAGTGAGCAAGGGCTGGTCCCACGGCACTCGCTCCATAAGGGTGCTCGTTCTTCCTCAGCTCCTTGGCAGGTTTTGAGGAGAAGAATGTGGTCACCAAGGTGGTAGAGGCCTGGCAGGGGAGGCCTGGAGCCCTGAGAGATGGCCAGGGAGAAGCAGCTGCACCCACCCAGCCATCTGCAGACCCCAGCACCCCAGAGCAGCAGAGCAGCCCTGGAAAACCTGCACAGCTCCTGGAACTGGACAGCCAGGCCAGCAGGTAAGGCCTATGTTGTGCTGGGCTTCTGCCTGCCAGACCGGACTTTTGTCAGGGGCCACGACCCAGAACAAAGTTTAACACAGTAAACATGCTACTTATCTTCCGCAGGTGTGGTTGCCTAGGAGCCTGTGGGATGCTGACTAGCAATGGGTATGCCAGGGGTAGGTCGCCACCGGCTTCACTTTGGAGCCATAGCATCAAATCTGTTAGAGGAAACCTGGTGCAAAGAAAGTGTCGAGAACCATGTTATCTGGTAGCCACTTGGAGTGTGAAGGCCTGGGTTGAGAGAGGGGCATGGGATACCTTTGCCATTCGTGGAGATGGAAGGTCTCTGAGAAAGGTGTTACCTGGTGTGAATAAACTCTTCCACTGCCATAGCCACCAGGGTGGTCTTGCATGGCAAGATTTGCATGCTCCCTTAGCTCCCCAGACATCTTTCCTGAAAGTGGCAATGAGTTTGGGGATAACCAAGTGCCACTAGCCATTACCCAGAGGAGATGTATAAGTCTCTCATGAGCCGGTGGTAGGTAGCCACCATATATGCATTGAACAAGATGGCCAGCCCCACCTCCTGACCCAGGAAGCACACAATGAATAAATACCATAGTAGCAACACCACAGTAGTAACCATTGGTATTTGCTGTGTGCTGAGAATATGGAGGCACTGTTCTTGTGCTTTATATGGACTTACTCAGTTCTTATACCACCACTGTGGAGGAGGTACTGGCATCATCTCTGTTCTACACGTGAGAAATTGAGGTGGGGGAAGGTTGAATAGTTTGCCAATAGTCATCCATCTAGACAGTGACCTAACAGGAATTAGAACCCAGTCAGCCCAAAGCCTGTATTGCTGATCACTGTGCTACATCTGCTGCTTCTCTGTTTTTAAGAAGCTCAGAAAAGAAGGCTATCTGCTGTTCTGATGGAGGGAGGCCAGGGCAGGGAGTGTTATAGCTACGGTGGTTGTGGAAATCTTTTTTGCTGAAAAGGGGGAGTTCAGTTGAGACCTGAAATACAAGGAGGAGCCAACCTGGCAGAGAACCTAAGATGAAGCTCAGGCAGATAGAGCAGCAGAGCACATATGGAAGCCATGGAGGGAGAGGGAGTCAGGGAGAAGGGACTAAAAGAAGGGTCCTGTGGTTGGAAGGTAGGAGGTGAGGTGATTGAGGGATAGGAGACTAGGTGGGCAGGGCCAGGGCCAGGGCAAAACCTTGTAAACTAGGGGTAGGAGGGAAGTGGGACAGTCCCTGATGATGAACGGGGAGCCCTGCCATTGGAGGTCTCCCATTCCTCACATTGCAGTCCTGGATGGGTCCCCATGGGATGTTTTATCCTTGCCTCATCAGCTCTGCTGCCCCCTTGACTACTATGCTGGCTGTGGGTCAGAGGATGCCCGACACTCGCAAGTTGTTCCATCAGAAGTGGATGCTATTTCCTTCCTCTTCTAGTCAGTTCTCTTCACACCGTCTGGTTCTCTGTTTTCTTGCCCATCTGTCTTTCCAGGTTCTCACGAGGCTCCCTCGCAGCAAGCCCACCTCCTCCACTCCCCATGGTGCATTCCTGTGTCCTAGAGTGACATAGGAATAGGCACATGGTGACTGGGCACATTGAGGCAAGGCACCTCACTCAGCCTGGGGTCAGAGGGCAGGTACTCCGGAAGGGCTTCCCAGAGGAGAAAGTGGTGTCACGTGCAAAGGCGTGAGAGAGGTCAGGTACACACAGCATGGTCTGCGAAGATGAGGCTGGGGAGCTAGGCAGGTGCCAGGTTGTGATTGTTTTCTACCCTCCCCACCCCTCCCCACTCTGAACTAGTTGAGGGGCTGGGCACTGGATTCTCTGGCAGAGGGGTAATATCCCTTGGCTGGGTGGATGCAGCCACCTCTGGAAGATGATCTGAGTGGCGCCATGTTGGAGAGAAGCCAAAATTAACCCAGGGCTAAGGCTGCTGGACAGGGAGCAAGCATGAGACAAATGGGAGGCAAATGGGACAAATGGGGGAGAGTCAGCAACAGAACCCAAAAGAACGCCCTGAAGTGTGGTGGAGGTGTGGAAAAAGCAGGCGTCTTCCAGAGTGAGGTACACCCAGATCTCTTCCCTGCCTGAGCTAGTCTGCCCCTCTCTCCTTCAGCCTTCTGTTATCCAGAGAGTTCACTGGAGGATGGAGTTGGGGGCTCATTGCAGGGAGGGGCTGCCCTGTCCACTGAAGTGGTTAGTGGGGCTGTGTCTGCCAAGTCCTCGGAGCCTCATGTTAGTCACAGGCCAAGGCTCTTGGCTGCAGGGGCGGTTCTGGGCACACGCTGGAAGTGCTCTTGCCACTGACTTATAGTGTGACTTGGGTCACCTAGCCTGGGTTTTCCCATCTGTAAAATGAATGCTTCTACCCATTGATCTCAGGAGCCTCAAAGAACAAAAGCTAGTGATTTTCAAGAGTTGTTGAAAAAATGTCAGCATGCTTTTAAGCGACAGTCTTGGGATTAGCCCCTAAAAACCCTGTTTGACCCTGGAAGACATCAGCTCTCAGTGGTGACACACTTGCCCCTCCCTTCACTTCTTTCAGGGTGAGAAACCCCTCAAGCTATATGGTCACTGTTGCCACCACTGCCACCTCTGAGCAGCCTGATGTTTACATCCCAGCGTCTCCAAGTGAATCGGACTCCAAGTCAACCAGGTAAGAAGATATTCTCCGGGCTGTTTCCTTCCTGGAGCTAAAGGACTTGGCTTTGTCTTATGTTGCTTTCCTGACATTAGCTCTAGTGCCTCCTCCAAATCCCAGCAGCCCGTTGGTCAAGGTGCCACAAAGTGCAGCCTCAGTTCCTCTGACATAAACTGCTGTCTGTGGGCCTTTCTAAGGCTCTGCTGTCCTTGAGACCTTGCTGATATCTCCTGGGGAACACGCCTGGGTCTCTGTCTGTCTCACATTATGTGTTGTGAGGAGAGGTGCTTACCCACTGCCTCACCTGCACTCCTGGCTTCACCTGCCATCTTAGAGCGTAGGAAGGGAGCCATCACAAGGAGGCTGAGTGAGGGGGGGTTGTGTAGGGGGAGATCAGAGGAGCTGGAGTGCACAGCATGGAAATAGGGCCAAAGTTGGGTCTGTGGTGAGCTCAGCATGAAGTAAACCTTGTATCCAATGTCGCCACGGGTCTCTCCAGGGTGACATGACTTCTAGACCTCTGGAGCTCCAGGAGTGAGAAGAGAGGGGTTAGACTGCTGATGGAGATTCGTACAGAGCTTGTGAGGACTGGCAGTCTAGGACTGAGGTTTAGAGGCTATCTTGGTCTCGGGCAGAAGGGAAAGAAAACGTGGTCAGAGAGGAAGATGGAAAGTCCACTGGACTGAAGTGTTGGGACACGCGGTGCCTACTGTGGTGTTGAGATCTGCAGGAAGGAGGGTAGCCTCTTTTTAGCACTCTCAGATCTGCACACAGTGGGCTGAACTCATGGGCTTTGATTTCAGCCCGAGGCCACTGTGGGCTCAGCAGCCTGGCAGCTTCCATTTGCTGGTTTCATTGCCCCAAAGTAGTGGCTAGAACCCAGCAGCACCTCTGCCTTCCCACAAGCTCCTTCACTTCCTTCAATCCAAATGGGGGTCCTCCCTGTTCTGGACCCCTCATTTAGCCTAGGCCCAGTCCCCTGGAATCTACAAATACACTTCTGTCTGGCTATGCTCTTTCTACAGCAAAGGGATTGTATGTGTGAAAGAGTACATGAATGCTGGGGAGCGCTCTTCCGAGAGGCTGCTGTCTTCACTCTACAACAGGTGAGAGTGAGCCCCAGATCCCTCCATGCCATGGCCTTCTCCTGTCAGGCCCTGTTTTGCCCTCATTCCTACATCATCAAGTGCTTGACCCAGAGTAGCTTCTGTATTGAACAGATAGATGATTTAATTGTTCATAGACATGCTTTATGCCTTTCCAGCTATTCTGACGTGCTGTGTTTGGGTTCCCCCTTTATCATTAATTCATCCCACACTCTACTTCCAGCACCATCCATCTCTGCCTGTCTTTGTTTCTTTGTCTCTTCTGTGAAATCCTGAGAGCATCGCTGTTGACAGAGCTCAGGGCTCATCTAGTTAATGCCATCCCATTCCAGAACTCAGGGCTCCTCTCTTCAGCTCCCATGCTCATCCCAGCATGCCATGTTGCCTCACTTGAAAACATATTTGACTGCAGGTCCTGATATCAGTCATCACTTTTCACTCATCATCTCTTTGCTTCCTTCCTGATGCCACATTGAAGGTACCTCCATGCCACCTCAGTTAAAAACTAACCCATGCTGAGACAGTGTCCTCCTGGGAATTTTTTTATGACACATCGCCCCACTGCTAGGGTTAGGATTGTAGTGACAGAGAGGAGCATCCTGGCCTTATTTCTGGATTGGGCCTCTGGGATTCCAGACCAGCTTTCACTGCTGCTGTGCAGTGATGAGCATGGGTGTAGGGGTCAACTTCAAGTCCCAGTTCAACCCCCATTTGTTAGGTCATTTTGGACAAGATGCCCACCCTTTCTGAGCCTCAGTTTCTTCATGTGCAATTCCTTAGAATGGTTTTTCATAATGACTATTTTGAGATATAATTCAAATATCATAAAATTCATTCTTTTAAGGTGTACGGTCCAGTAGTTCTTAGTACATTTGGAATCATTACCACTACCCAATTCCAGAACATTTTTATCACCCAAAAGGAAGCCCCAGACACATTAGCAGCTCCCTCCACCACCAGTCACAGCCCCTGGCCGCTAATGATCTGTTTTTTGTCTCTGTAGCTTTATTCAGGGAGGTTTTTGGAAAACCTCCAGCACTCTCAGTTCCACCATTCTGTTAAATTTAATTCTGACAATTAAATTTATTTTAAAATTGAATTTAACATTCAAAGGATTACAACTTATGAAAAACTAGTACTTTCTTTAATTATACAGTGAGTATTGTGTAGTCCAGTATGTTTTCCACTTTTGCTCTACCTCCCAGGAAGCTTAGAGATTAACTCAATGCTCAGAAGAAATCAGAAGCTGGGCTGAAATTCTAGCTCCCCTTGCTCTGAGCATGGCTCTGAGGACACTCAGCCTCGACTCATCACAGAGTTCCTGTGAGAATGGCAGCTTCACTAAAGCACATTCCAAAGCTTCTACCTAGTTGCCTTTCCCTGGCAATAGTTTATTTTAACCATTAGGTTTTATTGTAAAAAGTCATACTATGGAAAAATGAAAATGCAAAAAGGAAAAAAAACCTCACTCCTAATCCAAGCTTGTAACCTAAGCGCAGATGTGTTGCAATGTTTCCTTCTTTTTTTTCCCTATTTCTTTCATTTTTACTTTTTTTTGTTCCCATTCCTAGTGTCTGATTTCTACTGTGAGTGGGCTCCTGGTGACTATTATATTATAACCCAGGCACATATGTGGGGAGAAAAGCCACGGCCCCTTCCCCCTGGTCAGTGAGACTCAGGGTTCTCCTGGTACACATGACCTCAAGAATCCTAGCCACTCACCTTGTCATCTTTCTCACCACGGCACATCTTCTTTCTCCCCCTTGCAAGGGCTTCTCTCTGAGAGAATTATGCCTCCTTGGCACCAAGTTAAAGATTCTTCTGCCATTTAGCATAACAGACGATGGCTGGTCGTGCAGAGTCATGTCTCAGCTTGTGACCACAAGGTTAATCAGAAAAGCACTCTGCATTCATGACCGTGGTAGTGATCTGGCTCCCATTCTCTGCCCTCCCCTCTCCCACCACGTTCCCGTTGCAGTATCGGCAGCATTGAGGACTCATGCAACATGGAGAAGAAACTCCCATCTGAGAGGTAGGTCTGCTGCGTCACCAGGGAGTCCGCAGAGCTACAGAGGAGAAACAGCTAAGGGAGATCTACACGCTAAGCCCCTTTGCTTTTGTTTGCTGCTTTGCTGCTTCTGATCCATTTCTGGATCTGATGTGTCTCACCACAGCAAGGGTGCTGCTTCCCTTATCAGGGTGTCACACTTGTGGCAACTAAAGCCTTTGAATCCAGCTAAGATCAGAGGTTGAACACAGTGAGTTAGCAGCAGAGGCAGGACTAAATCCCAGGGCTCTGACTACTCCCAGGTAAGGGATGTTTCTACTCTGCCATCTGTGAGTTGCAACTGGTGGTGGTAAAATACAAGGGAGGACCGGGCCTGTGATGAGGACAGGAGTCTTTAGCAACACTGTCAAGTGACTGAGCCCTGGGACAGCAGAACAGATAGGAACTTTCAGCGAGTTCTGTCCGAGGAAGAAAAGCAGGGGTGGCTCCAGGAACAAAGGCAGGGATCCTGGACCTGGGGAGATACTTAACCTAGAATTCGGTATCTAGGACTTCCATATGAGATCCCCCCAGCAGGCTCTGCAGCTAGGCTGACTTTGTGATAGCCCCTGGAGTATCACAGGGGCAGCATGGGTCCAGGGCTGTAGGGTCTGAGAGGCAGGACTCAGTGGTCCTAGACATGAAGAGTAGGGCCATCAGGACAGGAAGCCCGGTCTACTCCTATAGGAGAAGATGTGGATCTTCCTGTTCTAGAGGGAATAGCCTCGCACCCAGATATGCTAGTCAGGGGGACAGGGAGAGGCAAGCTGCTTGGAATGAGAATCATAGCAAGATGTCCATATCTATGACAGAGAGTAGGGTGAAGATACATGGCTGGTTTCTAGAAACAATGTGAAGGTCTCTAGTGGACTGAGGTCCGGTCTGGCCCAAAGCTATGCGACCAGTTGCACAGAAAAAGGTGGTGGGCTAGGAGTCCTAGGAGCAAACCTGAGCTGTGTCAAACCAGAGGGTCTGGCTGCATCACATCAGTAGTCTGCATGCCAACCTGACCACAGATTCTTATTTTTTATTTCATAGAACAACTGGTGGAATCTGTACTTACTGCAACCGGGAGATCGGAGACTCTCCAAAGATTACACTAGAACATCTTGGCATCTGCTGCCATGACTACTGTTTTAAGGTAAGGAAGAGAAGAGGGGTGCTGCTGCTGAGAGCATCATCCACATCTAGGGGGCGTTGATGGTTTCAGAGAGTGTGGACAGGGCTCCATCTCAGAGGCTTTGCAGATCTGGGAGCTGAATGAGCTTCCAAGTCCGAGGGAGTTAGAGTGTTGACAATTCTCTGTCCTTAATACCGTGGAGAGACAAAACAGTTTTCTGGAGAAATACTGTTCCCACCAGAGGGCCAAGCGCAAAGGCTTTGGGGCAGGAGCATGGAGTATTCTAGCTCACCTGGGTGAAATGGCATGAGTGAGGGGTGAGTGGTAGGAGATAAACTGCCAGAGCTGGCTAAGAGCTGGCTCATGTAGGCCTTGCAGGACACAGAGACACTTGGAATTTTATTCTAAATACAATTGAAACCTAGTAGAGGGTTTGGGCAGGGGAGTGACTAGGTCTGATTCATGGTTTTTAAAGAATCCCTAGTCTGCTAGGCAGAGAAGAGACTGCAGAGGAGCAAGAATGAAAAAAGGGAGATCAGTTAGGAAAGTGTTGCAGTTGATCAAGCTGGAGAAATGAGTCACTCGATGAGGGAGCTTGCAGTTGAGGTGTCAAGATGGTGGCTGGATTGGGGATGATGTTTGAAAATAGAGGAAGGGTCTCCAGAGGAGGCAGCAAAGTAACACGGAGTGCCCCAAGTGACACAGTTTCTCAGAAGGCTGCAGTGGTCACCCTTTCAGTGGTTGCTGAGAGATCAAATAGGACAAAACCTGAAAATTGACCACTGAATTCTGCAGCATGGAAGCCATCAGTGACCTCAGTAGTGGCAGTTTTGGTCGAGTGATTGGGATAGAAGCTTGACTGGAATGGACTCCTCATAACAGAACAGGACACGGGGAAGTAGAAAGAGTGAGTCTGGGAGACTCTCCTGAGGGATTGGCTTCGTAAGGGAGCCAAGCAAGCTAACGGTAGGGCAGAGTTGCTAAGCATTGGTTTATGCTCTGGAGACATACAGTAGATATAGCAAACCAATGATGCAGGAGAAAGAGAGGCTGATGGTGACCGTGATGGACTTCTGTAGCAGAGAAAGATGGGTGCCAGTTGACACACGGCAGGGATAGGAAAGGCCAAATACGTGTGTCACACACAGGAGATGCATCTGTTTTCTCAGTCAATAAAAAATAGAATGCTCTTCGAGCGACAGGTGGGGAAGGAGTGTTGGACATTTGAGGAGAAAGGAGCAGGTGTGACTACTGTCTCAGACCCAGGGCAGGGGATGGGTAGATGGGCCAAAAGGAAGTGTAGGCCACGCAGAGCCCATTTAACAGGGCTTGTTAACACACAGAGTGCTGGGCCCCAACCCAGTTTCTGACTCACTAGGTCTGCATGAGACCTGAGAATCGACCTCTAACAAGTTTCCAGCTGGGGCTGCCGTTCCACCTAAAGTCTGGCCAGAGCAGTGACCAAGGCAGAGAAGGGCCCAGAACATTGGAGGAACGGACAAAAGGCCAGGTGGCGGGAACTCCTCCATCTGCGTGGATCCAGAATTTTCAGGAGCAGTGGTAGAGAGGGACTGTGACATGTGGTTTGACAAAGAACATTCTGTTTTCCTGATTCCTGGGCTTACATGAAAAATCCTAGAAGACTTTGTCAACTTTCGGTTATATACCGAATTACTTAATTATACTTATGTACCTAATTATACTTATATCCTTAACTAACAGAGCAAAATTACAGAAGTCTGAGACCTAAGCAATTCTTGGCACATTTGGTCTCACAGGGTCAAGTGTTGGGGAGAGGGTGTGGTTGGTGTGGGTTTTAAGGGGGCTTTATGATGGAGGTGGGTCTGCAGTCAGAGGCAAGGAGGTACACAGGGGATTTTTCAGGGGGCTGAGCAGGTCTCCATCGTGTGTGCAGAGGAAACAGGGATGAGGAGGAGAGCACAGGGGGAGGCAGCACGGAAAGGCCGGCATTGTAACCTTGCCTGACTGGGGCTCACGTAGGGGCTGGGGAACTCGGAGTTGTGGCAAAATAGTGAGGCCTGGTATTCCTGGGTAATTCTTAGAATGCAGGTAGGGTGCCTGAGAGCTGCCACCATGGGCCATGAACACAGAGGTGAAGAGGAGATTTTTTTTCTAAGATCACAGAGCTGCTCAGAACCAAGGGTCGAAATCCCGGTTCTGATATCAGAGCCAATGTTATCCCAGCTACACTCTGCAGCCTCCCAGGAAAGGTCATCCCATTGCTCAGGCTTATATGTATAAACTAGTCTGTCACTACCTTTAATTGTTGCCTTTGTTAGATTGACATAACATTTCAAAATACTAGTTTGTATTATTACACTTAGGAATACACAGAGCACATTTTTTTATTGAAGTACAGCTGGTTTACAATGTTGTATTTATTTTTGGTATACAGCATAGTGATTAATTTATACAAATATATTACTTTTCCCTATTTTTCATTAGAGGCCATTACAAGGTATTGAATATAGTCCCCTGTGCTATATATACAGTAGGACCTTGTTGTTTGTCTGAGAGAGGACACTTATGGCCACAGCATCATAATAACCCTTTAGGGTCTGTGTTCTCCTCAGTGTAAGGCACGTTGCAAGGCCCAATCATTGTCTTGGTTTTTTTCTGTGTTTCCAGAGGTGACCCCCTAAATAGATCATCATTAGTTGGCTAAGTTGAGGTTCAAGTCCTGATCCACAGTAGCTAAAACGACAGAAGTCTGATTAATTTACACTGAAGAATAAAATGGCCAGGAGACAAGAACTGAAAAATGGAACACAGAGTCATCAGAGAGAGATGCTTGGCAAGAATGAGCAGAGGGAGCTAAGGATCCTAGCAGCTGTTCGTCTCTTTCAGCCGGGAGCTGGAAGGCTTACCCCAGGGGGGTGCTGCAGACAGGTGCAGACCCAGCCATAAGGGGACTCTTGGGCTCCTCTTATTTGAGACTGTGTGCAGGCCACCTTGTGCTGGCCCCTAGTACCAGGGGGGTCTGCTGCAGATGGCAAGATGCTCTCATCCTTCAGGCGTTTGCCAGGGAGGCAGCTTTGAGAAGCATGAAGTCAGAGAAACTGGACTGCTGAGATAGCCTTCCCTTTCATTGTGCCCTCATATCACCTTCCTTTGAACTTTAAATATCACAGTTAATGTCCCCCAGTCCTCCTATAACAGCAATGACCTTGCCATTTACTTGAGCAGTTCCTTTATGTCTCCCCCAGACTGAGTACTCTACATGAACTAACTTGCTAAATCTTTCTGATAACCTGCCAGTGTGCCCGTTTTATAGATGAGGAAATGGAGGCTTAGTCTCAGTAACTCACCCAAGCTCACCCAGTTAATAAGTCATGGATTTGGGGCTCAAACCCAGGCTCAATTATGAAACCTGGGCTCCTAACCACTGTGTGATCATTCTGCCTGTTAGGTTTTTGTTTTTAGTTTTATTTAGTTTGGGCTTTGTCTCTGTTTTCTGCCATTTTTTTGGTCTACTTCAAAGTCTACTAGTTTATAGTACTTTACTCGTATGTTGACCTCTAGCTTGTTTTTCTTTCAGTGTGGGATTTGCAGTAAACCGATGGGTGAGCTTCTGGATCAGATCTTCATTCACCGTGACACCATTCACTGTGGGAAATGCTATGAGAAGCTCTTCTAGGTGGGTGCTGGCACCCCAAGGTCCAAGCAATGAGGAAACTTATTAGGGCAAAGAAATGTACCCTGGTCTCTCCCTGAATCTCAACCTGGGACACTGCTATCTCTCTCAGCCTTTCTGTTCAGAGGACCCCGAGTCCTTGTGTCACTATGCCCTGTGATACTTTGAAGTCTTAGATGGCACAGATAAAGACCCTCCTCATGGACAGTTCCAAGTTGTGGGAATCATAATCTCTTCCTCTCAAGAAGTGCCTTCCATGCAGCACCTCAGCTACGCCCTAGGATGCCAGCCAGGCCTTTGTTGTTAGCCTTAGAAAGGAAAAGGACATGGGGAGACACCTAGGTAGCGGGTGGCAGAATCAGGACCTCAACCTGATCCTCAGTCAGGACTTCGGCTTCAGGTCCAGAAGTCTCTGCCACAGTCCCTTGGACCACCTCTACCACTGCTCGTATAGCATCAGATCAGGACTCCACAGCCAAGGTATTCAGTAAAACAATGTATGGGGGACCAGCGACAGGTAAAGTTCAAGATAAGTGTGTATGTGTGGGAAGGGATGGTGCTGTCCTGGAGCAGGCCTGACCAGGAAGGGTTGCTTGGGCAGCCTCTTGGCCACATTGTCAACTCTGCCTGAAAATAAGTTTGCGTGCTAAAAGCCTACAGAATTGACCCCAGTGTCCGAGCTTTGTGGTGCCTTTTGATCCTGACAACCCCTCTTCCTTAGCACCTCCCCCAGCTAGGAACACAGAGCAGAATATCTCCCTTGAAGTCAATGGGAATGGGTAGCAACCAGGCTCTCCACCAGCTACAAGCCCGTTCTGCCTCCTCTCCAGAAGACACCTTGACCTGGACTGTTACTCCTGATGCCTCAACCTCACCAAGAGCCTCTGACTGGTCATTGGGTTGGGTGTGCATTTCCAGTCTCATGGATACTTCTACTTTCTTTTGCTTCTTCAGGCTGAGAAGAAACTGATGACTCCTGGACAGTTACTCCGAGTTGCTGGCTCTTCTTCCGTCACTTCCCCCTCCTCCATTTGATTTCTCCATGCTTTTGTCCTTCTTGAGTTGAACTTGCTTTCATCCAGTAGCGTATCTTAATGATGCTATGATAATTACTCATGCGTATAGCTTTTTATAGCTTAGAAAGCACTTCGCACCCATGATCTTGCTTCAGGCTCAAGCAAAGAATTCCATCTTGGCTTCCCTAGGACACGGCGGCTTCCTGATGAGTTGAGGTGGCCTGACATGATAGGCCTCTGCAGGAGCACGGGGTTCAGTGTGTACTGACTCTTGGGACAGAGAACAGATCACATTCTGGTTCACAGTTCTGAGTGTACCTTTGGGACTTAAGAGCAGTAGGAGACACCCTGAAGCTTCTGAAGGGCCAGGCTGAAGACTGTTGATGATCCCTGGTGGGTAAATTATAGACATTGACTGCTAGGGATTGACATAGGCTAATGTTTAGCTTGTTTATTTTTTAAACTTTCCATATACTTTTATGGGTAGCTAGCTGCTTTTGATTGAGTTATATGGCAGGTTTTAATTACCTCCTCCTACCTAGCTTTCAGTACAGTTGACTTTTTTCCTACAGGCATGTGGGCATATATTAGAAAGTTTACACATTAGGTTTAAATTCTATAGATGTGATTCTTAGGTGGCTGCTGACCAAAGGGACATCTGTGGCTGAATCTTGATAGCTAATTAGTACCTTTGCCCTCAATTTCCTATCCCTAAGCTTTATACAGAAATCTCCTAAAGTAGATTTTAGGATGTATAGAGTCCAGCAGGATTAAGAAGGGAGAAAATTAGCTAACGTTTCTTGAGGCCTTACTACATAACCAGGCATTATCACAAAGTGATGACATTAATCTGCATACTAATTTTGTGCAGAGGCTGTTTGTGTCCCGATTTGGCAGGTGAGGATGTTGAGGCTTAGAGAGGTGATCACTGCATTGTACAGAGCCATTGCTGTCTCTCTCCAGAGCCCATGCGCTCTCCAGCAACAGTAACCACAGTTATGAGCATTGATTGAGTGCCGAGTATATGCCAAGCTAACTTTGTGGAGGTTTACGTAATCCTCCCAGGAACACTACCCTCCTCAGGCCTTCCAGAGCCACTTTACAAAGAGGAGAAGGTG